CCTTTAATAGCTAGGCGTCAAAAACACTGCTTCTTCCTTCATCTTTATGTTAAGTTACTTAAACTTGAGGGGTTTTATTTTTGTTTTTTAAGATTTATTTACTTATTTGAGAGAGAGCACACATGCACGAGCGAGAAGGGGGAGGAGCAGAGGGAGAGGGACAAGCAGACTCTGAGCTGAGTGTGGAGTCGGGTGTGGGGCTCTATCCCACGAACCTGAGATATGACTGGATCCAAAACCAAGAGTTAGACACTCAACTGGACTGAGCCACCCAGGAGCCCCTGAACTTCTTGAGTTTTAATTCACGTGTATAAAGAATACATTTTGGTGCTTGCTTCAGCAGCAGTATACTTACTAAATTGAAATGATATGGAGATAGCATGGCCCATATGCAAGGATGACCTAGAAATTCATGCAGCGTTCCATAATTTTGATGTTAACTTATTGTGGTAATCCTTTCGCAGTATATACGTATATCAAATCATTATGCTGTAGAGCTTAAACTAATACAGTTTACATCAGTTATATCTTACTAAAACTGAGAGGGGAAGGATATATTTTGAACATGTCTGTACATCAAAGACCATCCCACAAATATTTAATATTTACCTATTAATGTAGTTTTGTAAGTAAGATTCTATCTTACAGGGTTTTATTTTGTCTCTGATTGTGGATAATTGTTTTTGCCATTCAGAAAGGAAACATTTAATGTATGACATGCACACAGTGTAAGGAAAAAATAGCTCCCCATGCATGCATTTGTATTTCTTCAATATCCCAGCTAAAGTAATATTTCTTATTAGATATATTTAGGGATGTAAATTTATATCTTGGAAAAAATCTAAATTGAACTTTACAATTCTGCACAACCACTTGTTCATAGCCATATAGTTCTGGGTTCCCTGGTCAGAATAAAAGAATCTATCGACAGGTTTTGTAGAATTCCCTGATAGCTTTTCAGGGTGATCACTGCCTACAAATCCCATCCTTTCCTTTTGTGTCGGGGGGCCAGTCATCGCTACCCCAGTGAACTCCACTTAGCTAGTCTTCAGTTAACAAGTCTCATTTCCTCTTATAGATGCGTGCACATGTGTACACGTGCATGCACACATACGCACAAGCAGGCACGCATGCACACATCCCTGCCATGGGGCGAGAACAGTCTATTGTCAGTCTCCTTATTCTGTTTCTGGTGATCTCAGGACTTGGAGGACCAAATGATCGCTTCTCTCCATGGAGTGCTTGGGGACCTCTTACGTTAGCTAAGCATTATGGTCCCCCGATGAAATGTGCTAAATAAAAAATGTTTTCAGGTGTTGCTAGGAATGCATCTAACCGAGGCTTACGATACAATGCTTCACAACTGTTGATATACCTGAAGTACATCCGTTTGTGTGAGCATGGGAAACTGCCCATGATGTAGTATGATATGCAGGTTGCATGACATCTATCACAGGATGCACGTGAATTTCTTTATAAACTCCATTCAACAGAAGTTTCTTTAAAATGCATCAGTTCTATGGCGGACATTGTTTCTTGCAGCTGCTTGACTTTGTATTCTATTCCTTCAACTGTAATATTTTTTCTGCCTGATGAATTCCTATTTATTCTTTCAGAACTTAACTGAAATGCAATCTGTGAAGCTCTAGACCTGATTCCTGAGACATAACTAGTTTTTCTCCTAAGGTTTAGTGCTCTCTGTTCTTACCTCTATTGTCCCACTCATAGTATGTCTTGCAATGATTTGTTTCTACGTACGTCTGTTCTCCAGCTAGGTAGTGAGCTCCTGTCACCCAGCCCAGGTTCAAGTACATCACGTGGCCTCGACTAAACAAGAGAATGTCTCTTTATTACCTCAGGTTGCTCAGGCCATAAGTTGATAAACATAGAACATTTTGAGAGCCCTGAGAGCTCTTTTTTCTCCTGGGTTTGATAAAGTAATATCCACTGTATTTTGTGATTGTAGTTCTTTAACTCAGTCATATGATTATTAAGATATTTTTTAAAACTTCATTGAGGGACAACTGGGTGGCTCAGTTGGTGAAACATCTGCCTTCATCTCAGGTCATGACCCCGGGGAACTGGGATTGAGCCCCATGGCTCCCTGCTCCGCAGGAACCTGCCTCTTCCCCTCCCTTCCCCTCTGCTCGTGGTCTCTTTCTCTCTCAAATAAATGAATAAAATCTTTTTAAAAACTTCACTGAGAGGCAGCCCCAGTGGCCCAGTGGTTTAGCGCCGCCTTCAGCCCGGGGTGTGATCCTGGAGACCTGGGATCGAGTCCCCCGTCAGGCTCCCTGCACGGAGCCTGCTTCTCCCTCTGCCTGTCTGTCTCTGTCTCTGTCTCTGTCTCTCTCTCTCTCTGTCATGAGTGAATAAAATCTTTTAAAAAAATAAATAAAAATAAAAAATAATAAAAAAATAAAAACTTCACTGAAGAATAATTTATAAACCAATAAAATTCATCCACTTTCAGTATATAATTAAAGGGTAAATAAATTCACAAAGTTGTGCATTCATCACTGAATCCAATTTTAGAAAAATTCCATTACCCCAAGAAGATCCCAACTGAGGTATTCTTAAGTATTGATGGAATGATGGAACTGTCCAGAAACTTGTGTTGTGGGTTGAACTTGATGATCTCAAACTTTATCATTGTTTTTGGCTCTGGACTATGTTGGATACAACATATGTACAAGAGGCCTGCATACTTGGTGGTGCTGCATCCTGAAAGAAGAGTACGTGGTGGCAGTAAGGGATGTTGATTTCTCTTCAGAGGCTTGCTCTGTGACGAGCTCTGTGCTGGGTCCATTATATACATTACCTCATTTGAGATTAAAAATATAAAAACCTATGTTGTGTAAGTGTCCTTTGTTGAATCCATATGCACTCTGCAGAAAAGGAAGTAACCCCAGGTCACACTGCTAGTAAGTGGAAGGGCTGGGATTTGAACGGGGCCTGCTGTGTACCACACTTGTCGGAACATTCAGTAGCTATATGTTGAGCAATTACTGTATGCTCCCATAAGAAGGCACATCTTGGGAAGCATGTAAGAAGTTCGAAGAGTTATTTAATTTGAAAAACAGAAATAACTACAGTGTTGAAAGGATCAACTCTGAAATCAGCTTTTTCTCTGCCTTGGCTCCACCCAGTTTGGTTCGAGGCTCTGAGGGCATATCCTGAATCAGGTCAGCAAACCTGGAGAAGAGAAGAAACAGGATCATGTTGTAAAAATTATAAGATAGGCCATTTGGGTTGTCAGCATAATCTCTGGTTGGGTTTGCTCTGGGGATTATTTCATCTTTAAGTCTTAAAAACCTAACATTACTTGGTTTTCATCAACACAAACGGTCAATTTTTATTAGAGCAGTGGTTTGGCTGCTCAAACAGAGACCTACCGGTGGCTTAAACAAAATTGAAATGTATCTTTCTCTCAGATAAAAAGCTGGGTAGGTAATCAGGGTTTGGCAGGGTAGTTCCCCAGTCATTAGGGATCCTGCCTCTGCATCTCGTTGCTCAGCCACCATTATTACATGACTCTTATCTTTGGGGTTAAGTGGATTGTTTTAGCTCCTTGTACCACGGCTACATTCCAGCCATCAGGAGGAGGAATGTGTAAAGAAGAGGATGTGTGTTTTTCTCTCCTTTAAGGCCATGACCAAGAAGTTGCAGGTGTTACTTCTGATCACATCTCACGCTGTAGAATGTAGTCATAGAGCACATGCCCCTCATTCTGTGAAGATGAGCTTAACATGAAAAACGTAGACTTGTACATAAGAAGGAGGGAGACATGGGATGCTTTAGGCCAAATGCTTTCTCATGGCTTCTTCTTCTTCTTCTTTTTTTTTAAATCTGGGCCATTAGATTCAGTCAAATCCAGAAATTTCTGTCAACATGATTCCCCTAGGCTTTGAAGACACTTCTTTGTTTCGAAGTTGGCAGTGTGTCAGTTTGTCTTCCATGATGCAGTATCAGTTTGAACTTGTTTTTCCTGGAAAAGTGTATGCAGCAGCTCCCAGCTTAACATCTGGGTTGGGAGCACTTGCATAGCAGATTTTACCTTGGTAAAGCTGAATACATTTTCTTTCTTCAAAGTATTTCTAGGAAAAAAAATTATTTTCTCATCAGAGTACTGTTTTCATTAAGACATACAACTACTATTCAAGACAAAAACACTTAAAATTCCGGTGTTTGGCATACATGCCAACTTTTCTATGACAAAGCAGCATTTGCTTCTTAGAAGATTAACGGTACCTGCAAATCAGGAATTCATGTTCTAACCTCAGTACTTAACTATGATGTGGCCTTGACTAAGCTGGCGGATGTCTTACCTTTTCTTACTTAATAATATCTTACAACAGAGTTTAGAAGTAGCCTCTCTCTCATATTCAGTGTATGTCATCAGCAATTATTATGAGGCCCTTTGACCTATTATGAGGTGTCACTTTTTTGTCATTGGTTACGAGAGATCATGATAACCTTAACTTTCTTCAAGGATGTGTTTTACTCACAGCTAGCTTGCCCAACAAGAGGAAGATACACGTAACATTTGCCAAGCTGTCACTTTATGACATTCTTCTAAAGTCTCTTTTGATAGGAAAAGATCATTGGAGTGTTTAAGATTAGAAATCTTAAGTAATCTTGGTTTGCAGATATTTGTTTTGATAAAGTATGTCCTTTTCCAGGAGGACATTTTGGGAGATCTCACTGTAAGTCCTTAATTATTTGAAGATCTCTGTGCCAGTATTACGTTTAAGGCAAGGCCAATTTTAGCCAAGTGTACTGAATGTATCCCCAGTGTTATCTCCAGCGATTTCATCTGATTCCTTTTTATGCACTCTTGACACAGCCAAATTATATACAGTATATAAAATAAACTGCTGTCTGTAGAGTGGTGAGTGGTTTCGTGATTCCCTTCTGTTTTGAGTGGGTGGCTTCTCTCTACTCTTTATCTGTTGCTTGCATTCTCAGCCATCATGAATGTTTTGTTTTCTCTTTTGCAGATGACACGACTGGTGCTGCCCGGCATGGTGGAAAGGTGAGTCACGAGCTCTCACACAAACACTAGAGAGACAGCTCATGATTATTTATAGGGAGAATCCTTTCTTTGCAAAATTCATTAAAGTGACTAATGAACCTATCCTCCATGTCTTAGCAACAGAGTAATGTGCCTGGCGAGTCACACGATGGAGCATGAGTCATCTGGTGGTGGAGGCCTTTTCCACTGGATTCCCTTTTTATTTCTCTCTCCAGGGTTGTGGTGGTTCCTTTAGATCAGGATTAAAAAGTCTGCCTGAGTCACCATCACCAACTCAATTGCCTGCTATTCTGAGGGGGCGGACAGAGTTCCTGGGGTATTCCCGGGAATGCCTTCTTAAAGCTATATGCTCTCAGAACTACAATCAGTGGAGTTTCACAAAGCAAGACCCCATCTTCTTGGGGGGGGGGAGGTAGTTCTTAATGGATAAATGGGCATATGAAGAACTTAGGCATGTTCTAAAATGGTTATAAGATGTCAAACCCACACTTGGAGCACAAACCTGCACCATGGAGCCCCATGTGTGTTCTAGTTTGAGTTGGGTTCCACTAAGATATGCTAGATGTCTTCATTTTCATTGAGAAATGTGTCGTAGAGTTTCTTCTTGAAATAGCACGAAGTGTAAAATTGTAATTAAGCTCTGTCTCTCCCTTGGAAAAGCCTGAATGATGTCTAGGCTTTCAAAGGAAACCTGTTGAAAAGATCTGGGCTTACATCTTGAGCTGGCTTGATCATTTGCTAAATTTAGGGCTTCACAGTCATCCTTCTCTGCAAAACAGTTTTGAGTTTGGAAGAGATCCAGAGGAATCACAGCTTTGGAAAGGGCAAAGCCCAAAGACCCTACTTCTGTGAAGAAGCCTCTATGACCAGCTTCAGGCAGGGCTTACAGCTATTTATTGAGTACCGATTATGTGCCAAGTATACAAGGACTTGATGTGTGTGAACTCATTTACCTTTGATAGCCTCCAACCACTGTACAGAGTTGAGGAAGCGAGGTTAGGAATCCATTTTGCTTGGCATCTGCAGAGACTGGTTGAGAAACTGCTTCTTTGCAGTCTTTGTTTGTAATTCCATTTTATATGAAGTTTGGTATATTTCAATTCCTTTAGTAAGATTTCCCTTCAAACCCTGACACTGCTTCGAGTTGGTCGACAGTGGGAGTGTGCCCCCAATGGTCTGATGTGGAAATGACAAACTGGTCAAAGGAGACAAAATGGTAAATTACAGAGAATTGAGGCTGACAGATTAGAACTCAGGAGGGATGAAATTTTGGCCATCATCTTAACCCAGTTTGATATCTGCCAGTGACTTGGTGTTAATTCAGGACAGTGAATCCATCTATTAAAAACAAAATACTTATAAGCCACAGAAGTATTGGAAAAGGAATTTTTAAGTAAGTTGGTGAAAACCATATCAGAAGAGATGATGGTTGTGAAATAATCTTGCAGATCATAATGGATTTCAATAGTCATAGAATTTTAGTACTTTAAGTAATTGAAACCAGCCCCTCCCTTATTTGATAGACGGAAAGTTGGAGTCCCAAAGAACTGGAGTGCTGTGAAGCTTCATAATTAGTAAATGATACAGACCTAGGGTGCCAGGAACCTCACTCCTATCTCTAGAGACCTAGCAGCCATGATTGCAGTCATAGCTGGAGCATTAGATAAGAATGCAAAGAAGGGGATCCATTCATTCAGCAGGCACTCACCGAGCAGAGTTTATCATGGAGTATACGGAAGATGAACTGGATCTTTGCCTGTAGGAAATCAAGTTGATTTAGACTAAGGTTGAGAAATGATCTGGTGGGAAGCCATCACAGGCTGTGGCCTGAACCTGACACCATGAGGGTGACTGTGGCACTTGCTAAGAACTAGTAAGAAGGGGAAGTGGACTTTGTGAATCAGTATTTTGGGTTGGGAGAGGAGGGGACAGCGGTGTCCACTCAAATTAAAGGAGTTACTAGTTGTGTTAATTAAGGTAGGCTGAGTGCTAGAAGAGACCATCCCAAGATCTCAGTGGCTTAACATTCTAGAGGTTAGGTTTTTTTTTTTCCCCCTGATTGCTGGTACACAGCCGGTGTGGATCAGTGGTTGGGCTTTGCTCTACCCCGTCAATCTGGGATCTCAGACTCCTTCCACATAGGGGCTTTTCTTCCCCTGGGCTTTGTAGTTTTCTGCTGTATTTTCTGCATCCAGCTAGCAGATGAGGGAAGAGAGAATGAGGATGGTGTTATGGGAGGTTTCTTGGGCCAGGCCTGGAAATGGTGTACATCACTGCTGCCAACAGTCCATTGTCCAGAACTCAGTTGCAGGGTACGACTAACTGCCTAGGAGTCCAGAAATGTTGTTAGCTTTGTGCCCAGGAGGAGAGGATCATCTGCAAGTGATTTTAGTATAGCCTGCCCTTTACACCATCCTTAAATGGCGTATTTCCTATGGTTGGTTTCCATAGGAGTCGTATTTCCATTGAGTAAAACGGAGTCCTTTATAAAGATCCTTTGTTGTTTTTGTTGTTTTTCCCCTTTCACTGATTTCTACCTCTGATGTATAAGATTTTCCAAACCCTCTAGAACGATAGCCTAAAGCCAACTGACTATCACTAAACAAGTATCTATAATTAAACTAAGGTATTATTACCACAGAAGTAGAAAGCATAATTACATTATAGAGGAAACTTGCTCTTTCCACTTCTCTGGAATTATAAACATTGTGTACAGCTGGAGCCAGGAGGTGGTTGCCATAACAACCATGGAAAAGCTAAAAATAGCCCCTTTCATACTGTATTGCTTAAGGTGGAATTATGACATGTTATGGTGTTTTAGGGCAGGCAGTTCTCTTTCATGTGGGAAATGTTTGCAAACTTCTTCAGCAAAGCAGGATTTGTATAATGTATTTGGATTGCTGGTTCTAATTATATGTCTGACCCCTATGTTCCAGGATTCTTCTCTGACATAGAACTCTGTTTTGATATGTTTCTCAGTCTTGAGAGTCTGTTAGAGAATTGTCTGTACCAATTTCAGTGTTATGTTTAAGCTTAAAGAAAAATAAATAAATAATGACCCTCCAGGAAGAAATGGACACAGGAAGGATCATCATGGAGTCTTTTCTGCAGTCTCCCCTGTCTGCCATCAAACGCCGTATACAGTTAGCTTCCCGTGTTGGAGCTGACCCTGTGTTCCAGTCCTTCACGGCAGCACCCCCACCCCCGCCCAGCCCCCGTCGCAGGGCAGTGCCGAGGTTCCCGAGGAAGGTGGAAATCAGTGACTTATTCAAAGGAGACCTAGCATTCCCTCTATGACAATAGTATTTTTATAGAGCTGTGGACGAGGACCCTGCAACAGCTTGATGGAATAGTGGGGGCACTTATGGGAAAATTAAGGCCTGGCCAGTTTTTTTTATCCAGGTGACAATTAAGGAGAGTATTAGGATGGGGTTTTCACAGGTCTGAGGGAGTTATACTGGAGATCATAGCGATAGGAAGCCACAAATACCAGATACTGAATTTTGTAGGGTTGGATGAGTTTCACGTTTGGCTGGTGAAAGGGCAGTAATTGCAGAGAGTGTGTTTCTGTGGAGAGGTGCTTCCTTATCAGCAGTGGTGTTTTCTGCTTTGCTTTTGTGGTATTTTAGTTCTGGTAGATCCTCAGTAATTTGTACCACTGAGACACCATCGTGTGGCTGTTAGCAAGTAGGCAGTGTGATGAATTAAGAATGTTCTATCACAGAAAATATTACTTGAGTTGTTTATTTGGGTATTTGTCATAACGGGCTGGGAAGTGTGCTGAAGTATGAGCAACATGAGTCTTCATTATGGAACTTCAGCAAATATTGTTAATGTACCTTCCAATCTTAGAATTGCTCCCCAAGTCCCCAGAAAATGAGAGATTAACCAAGGTTCGGTTTTATGTTTGTTTTTGTGTGCAATTAAGCACAAGCCCATTTTGTCCTTCTGCTTGATATAACAGAGCTGTCATGAGTCTGCCTCTGCCATGGAAACTGGTTTGACGTCACTAATTCTGCTTAGATGGAGGATTAAAGCCAGACAAAGTAGTTGATTTTAAAGATGAGTCCGTTGTGCCTCGCGGTCCCAAGTGTTCATTCCCATCCCTACGTGAGGAATAGAGACCGCACACGGTACAGGGATGGAGACAGCTGCACCAGCGTGTTGTTTATGATTCAGACAAAACTAACTTGAATATTATTATCCTTGGAGAGAAAGAGAATTCTGTGCTAGTGTGGGTGTGGGAGGAAGGTTTTTGCTAGACAAATACGTGTGCTTCTTGTTAGCACAGAGTTTTCGTAGAAGGGGTGTTTCTCCGCTGTCATTATGATACAATTATAAATGCTCTCCTTTTATTTCCTCAGGTCTAGTGGGCTCTTGCTTTAGACTTCATTGGTCTCGGGTTTGTGTAATGTATTCTAGAGTGTTTGAATAATGTTCCCTCAAATTCTGACTTTTCGCTAATTCAAACTCTACCTCCTAGAAATTTTAATTGGAATAGAGTATTTGAGAAACAAAGATCTTAGTTCCCTCAAAGGAACTAAACAGTTCAAAGGGCATACCTGCATAATTGTGGCATATTTGATCATTAGTCTATTATTTCTTAAAACAGGTAGTTTTTATTGCCTTTAAATAAATTTTCCTTCATTGAAATCATTGCTTTGGTGAGTGAAGTTTTAAGAGCGTGTGTTAGTAAGATCAAGATTTAATTTTTAAAGTGTATTTGGTAATGTTAAACTTTAATTTTGGAAGACTTTTAAAATGCATTTCATTTGTGAGGAATGAAATTTAAAATATTAAGATTTTTGTTCAAGGGCATATGCAACCACCTCTGCCAATCTGAGTATAATAGAGCACATAATCCAGCTAATAAAACCAGCACTGATATAATACAGCTTCAGTGAAGAACATTATCATCTACAACTACTCTAAACTAGTTTTTTCTTCATCTGTTCCGAATGAGTGAGGCCATAGCAATTCCCGGTTACATGAGAAGAGGTTAAAATAAAATGCTACCCAAAGCTACAAGGATGCTTAGGGCTCAGGAGGGGGTGCAACTTATCAGGATTTGGAGTTACTTCTCAGAAAGCATTCTGTGTTGCAGAAGATCCCATAGCTCTCTTAGCTTCCACTTGGTTGGAATTTACTCTGAGCTTACAGGTGGCACCTTAAAATATATCAAAAATACATATTTATCTTTTTCACATTTATTGAGATCTATGTCACATACCATAAAAGCCACCCATTTAAAGTGTACAATTTGGTGGTTTCTAGTGTGTTCACAAAGCTGTGTAGCAATCACCACAATCTAATTTGAGAACATTTTCAACACCCTAAAAAGATAAATATATTTTAAACATCATAAATTAATACTCTATTAAAAGTCTTCAGTAACAGAAATTGCTTTTAGTCCATTTTGATAGGAGGAGTTTCTCACAAATATAGATAAAATCAAAATCTTAGATATTCATTCCTAATTACTAGCTTTTACCTTAGAGTGACTGGGTTCTAACTCCTGAGAGACACTCTTACTCTCTTACCACTTTTTAAAAACAGAAGGCTGGGATCCCTGGGTGGCGCAGCGGTTTGGCGCCTGCCTTTGGCCCAGGGCGCGATCCTGGAGACCCGGGATCGAATCCCACATCAGGCTCCCGGTGCATGGAGCCTGCTTCTCCCTCTGCCTATGTCTCTGCCTCTCTCTCTCTCTCTGTGACTATCATAAATAAATAAAAAAATTTAAAAAAAAAATAAAAAATAAAAAATAAAAAAAAATAAAAAATAAAAACAAAAGGCTTTTCTGTCTCTTGAGATACAAGCAAAACATACCAGAATGATATAATCAACACATTCCCTAAATATTTCCAACTTTCCTTAAAACCGTAATATTACATTTTTTAATTTTAAATTTGACTTCAATGACCAAAATGTGAGTGGATTTCACTGCCTAGGAACGTTTATGTTACTAATAAGGACTTGGGTTCAAAAATAAAAACAAAGACAACAGTTTGTTTCCGGTAACACAGGAAGCTGAGGGTCCAGACTTCGTTTGTGGCATCTCGCCTAGAGGCTGGCAGATGGACTGGGTGACCTTTTGGGATTATTTCTTTTCAGATTTATGTCTAAAATAACTTAGATTCCATTTAATCATGTTTCTTTTATTATTTTGCATAAAACAGGCCTATATAGTTCTTGTTAAAAAATATGAAAAAAATAGGTTTTGGAGGAGGTAAATTCAGAAAAAGAACAAAGGGAAGCTGAGTTGAAAGGAAAGGAACCTCACCTGGAGGCTGGGAGGTAGGTAGGGTTGTTCGCAGTAGCTGAAGGGGACATCCCATCCTCCAGCCTGAGAAGAAAGGGAAGAGTTGGCCGTTAATTCTGTTTAAAATTCCTAAAACCCTAACTCCACACTTCAGGCAACCCTTTTGCCCTTATGTGCTTGCTAATAACGGGTATTTTACAGCATTGCTTTCCTCCAGTTAATTTTCGTTTATTAGTAAAATCAGTATTTCCTATAACTCTCTGACTTTCAGCTTTCAGAAGTCACTAGAAGTTATAGTAGAAATTGAGCTTTGCCTTTTAGCAAAGAATATGGTTTGATCACCTATAGAGTTACATAATTTTATCGTCAGCTCTTTGTTTAGCGCCTGAATATCTAACCTGAAGGAAGCAGGAGGGCAGAACCTAGCCATTCACTCGCGCCAGGTGGGTTTATTAAGCACCTGTTACGTGCTCAGGACTGTGCAGGGTAGTTTTGAGGAAAAGCTGAAGACAAAGACTATGATGTACAGAAACTTGTAGTTTTGTTGAGGGAGAAGAACGTGCGAAACATGTGAAAAACACATGTGATGATTAAACAGGACAGCAAGGCAGTATGTGACGGCAGGCCAAAATAAAGGCGCGCAAGGACTATGAGAGTGTTTCTAAGAGTGAGGATTCTTGGTGAAGCGGCCAGAGGAGACCTCCTACAGGAGCGATCGACTGAGGAGACTGTGGCTCTGATCTGGTCATGCCCTGGATTACTAACACAGGAATGAGCTCATGGCAAACAAGAGCTATTTTTAGTTGATTGAGTTATGCCTCATTCACTGACCACGGATATCACGTGCTGATGAAAGGCGCGGAGAGATGTGTGTTAGACAGCTCTGCTCTTCTGTTTAAAATCATTCTGTATCTCGATCTGTAATTTACAAACCATCATGTATATGATTTCATTCGGTTTACTTGGTGCATTTTCCTTTTTAGGTCTAAAGGGGCAATTCTGAACATCTCCTCTGCCAGTGGCATAGCCCCAGTCCCACTGTTGGCCATCTACTCTGCAACCAAGGTGAACAATTTTTTAGTGAATCATGTCAGAATAAGAATGATGAGTACAATTCAGTCTGAGAAATAAGCATAGAAGCTTCTTGAAGTTTTCTTCTTGGCTGTTTTCAAACAGACTGGGAAGGAAAGGGTGGGACGCCAACATCCCAGATCCACAGATGCTTTATTCTTCTAATAGTTGACTGGTTTTAAAACCGATTCAGGCACACCTCGGAGTTATTACAGGTGTGGTTCCAGACCTCCACAGAAGCGCAAGTGTCACAATAAAGCGAGTCAAATGAGTGGTTTGGTTTTCCAGTGTACATAAAAGTTATGTTTGCACTCTGCTGTAGTCTATTACATGCGCAACAGCATTGTGTCTACAAAAGCAGTCTATATATTGTAATTAAAGAGTACTTTATTGCTAAAAAATGCTGTCATCTGAGCTTTCGAGATGTGGTAATCCCTGAACACAGATCACCATAACACATATAATAATAATGAAAAACTTGAAATCTTGTGAGAATTGGCAGATATGACGCAGAGCCAAGAAGTGAGCACGTGCTGTTGGAAAAATGCTGCCAACAGATTCGCCTGCTGCAAGGTTGCCACAAACCTTCAGTTCTGTAAAGCACAGTCTGTGTAAAGTAGGCAAAGCGAAGTGCAAGGGAACAGGGTATGCCTGACTGTGCTTTCCACAGAGAGCTCACTGGCCCAGGCCAGCTCTGTTGACCAGAGCGTGAGGCTTATGACTGGGGATTTGGTTCATGAATGAGGCAGCTTCCTCCAGCAGAAGTTCCAACTCTCCCAAGCCCAGAGGAAGAATTTGCAGCCAGTCAGGACGTAACTTCACTCAGTAGGTGCAAGGTAGCCCGGGTGAGAGTGTATTTTGCCACTTACTCGGAATCCTGGGTATTTATTGTCACTCCAGGAATGAGACCAGAGTTTTCTAGAACTCTCTGTAAGATGTCATAATTGTATACTACGTCACGACTCACGTCTTCACATTACTAGTAGGAAATGTTATTTAGGATACATTTCCTGCTGCCTGCAGGTCCATGGCACCTTATACATTGTTGAGGCAAAGGATACATCCCTGAAATGAAAAGGACCATTGGGATGCTGAGATTAAACCAGCTTTGAGGGGAAAATGAGCAAAATATATAAGAACTTCCAAGAGCAAAATGCTTGCCTTCTTTTTCACTTGGCTCTTTGTCCGCTGGAAAAACCGTCAACAGTGACTACTGTTTTGGAAAAGTGAGGCGCCGCGCCCCCTCCTGCAATCTACCTGCTTTCTGTGTCTGAAATATGGGGAGGGGGGTCAAAACGGACACCATGTTTCTTGAGGTGGTTGTTGGACCCTCTCACCCTGCTCTCCATGGGCACATGATTAATTGGGTCCTAGTGGAGTCATTATTGATACTTTGCATTTTAAGCCTGAGTTGAGTCCGTATTTGAAGAATGATACATTATATTTTACAAATAGATTTAAAACTATACTATCAGAGGATGGGCTGTCACATTCAAACCTGCACTTCTTGGATCTTGCCATCCCAAAGGACCAAGAGGATTCTTGTTCTTTTCTTTTCTTTACTGACAACAAAATCCCTATAGAGGAGAGTGGAACAGAATTCATATTGTGTTTCTGTTTGAATGGCAAGTGGGGAGGAGGAACATAGCCTTTGTTATATAATAAAACATTTCTTCTTGAAAACTAATTTTCTGAAAAAAGAAAAGATCCTTTTCTGGTTAAGTCAAAATTTGATCTGGAGATTATGTTTGCTAAGAATACTTGATTTAGTGGCAGAAAAGAAAACAACTTGAGATTTTGAGGGGTTTTTTTTTAGGGTCTCTTCTGCATTTGAAATAAGAATGATTAGAAACTCCAGTGTTAAATGGGTAGTTTGTTATTTGTGTTGCCATGGCTACAAATCAGGCTGATTGATGTAACGTGTGTTTCCTTCTCACTCCCACCCCATCCCAGGCTTTTGTGGATTTCTTCTCTCGGTGCCTCCATGAGGAATATAGGAGCAAGGGCATCTTTGTGCAGGTGAGTGGGGTTTGTTTCAGTTGCGTGTCCCTGTTTTTGTGTGGTTTCCACAGCAACTGTTGCTGTCTTGGCAACGAAAGAAAATCCCATTCCTAAGGAAGTGAGTGTGACGTTAGCACACCATTAAAGACATGATTTCTTTTTCTTTTATGCACTTATGCCTAGATTTTTAAAAATTATCCCCTAGAATTCTTAACTCGGGATTCTTAAAGTAGAAGAACCAAGTGCACGGTTTTATTTCTTGCAGTATTATTTTGAGAAAATTGGGACTGTCGGCATCTCTTAGCTGCCAGGTGTGTAAGGTGTGCTGTGACTGTTCCCAAGGCCGCTGTGTAAGAACCAGCAGGGCTGATGGGGAGCGGAAGACAGCCAGCTCCTCCTAGAGCAGGTGGATGGCATGCTCAGGATGACTGCCGTGTGGGAGTGAGGTTCAGTTTGTTTTAATTGTGGTAAAAACATGTACCAGAAAGCACCGTTTAAATCACTTGTGGGTATTCAGTTCAGGGGCATTAGGTGCGTGGACCTTGTTGTGCGCCCTCAGCACCATCCATCTCCAGAACTTTTGCATCTTCCGGAACCAAGACAGTGTCTGTTCAACAGTAAGCCTCCCTTCCCGCCCCGTCCTGGGCAACAGCCTCCGCCCTGCTTTCGTCCCCCTGAATTTGACTGCTCTAGGGACCTCGTTCGGGGGCCTTCATACAGTTTTGGTCTTTCTGTGCCTGGCTTAGTGCGCTCCATCGAACATCTTCCACGTCCAGCTACATGTGCGAGCTGCCTTCCTTTGTCAGGCCGAGTAGAATTCCACCGTGAACGTACACTGCGTTGTGTTTATCCATCCAGCTGCTGTTGGACGCTCGGGTTGCTTTCACCTCTTGGCTGCTGTGAACATGAGGTGTCCACCTATCCCTTTGACGCCCTGCTTTCAGGTCATTTGGAAATGTACCCAGAAGTGGCATTGCTGGATCAGGTGGCAGTTAAATGTATGTATGTATGTGTGTGTGTATGTATTGTTTTCTTTGAGCTCCCTTACTTTCTTCCATAGGAGCTTACCTGTTTTAGATTCCCACAACGACATAGCAGAGTTCCAATTTTTTCATATCCTTGCCGATACTTGTTATTTTGTTTTGTTTTTGTTTTTTGAGTATTAGCTGTCCTAATGGGTAGCACGTGGTCTCTGTGGTTCTGATTTGCATTTTCCCAATGATTAGTTGACGTTGAGCACTTCTTCAGCCTCGTTATTGGCCATAATATATCTTCTTTGGAGAAACATCTGTTCAGATCCTTCGCCCTTTTTGAATTGGATCATTTACCTGTTTATCGTTGAATTGTAGGAGTTCTTTATATACTATGGATATTTACCCTTTATCAGATACATGATTTGCAAATATTTTCTTCTACTCTGTGGGTTGCCTTTTCATTCTGTGGATTGTGTCCTTTGAGGCACAAAAGTTGTTACTCTGGATGTAGTCCATTTATCTATTTTTCCTTTCATTGCTTGTGCTTTTGGTGTCCTTTGCAAAAAATCATTTCCAAATGTAATATCATGAAGGTCTCCCCTGTTTTCTTTCAAGAGTTCATAGATTTAGCTTTTACATTTAGGCCTTTGACCCATTTTGACTTAATTTTTGTAGAGATCTTTGCTTTTATTATGTAGCTAACAGATACAATGCTGTGGAAATACAATACCAAATGTGAGAGGAAGCAAATGTAGGAGTTTTTTACGAGTATCTGTCTCAAAGCAGCTCTTGCTCAACACAAAGTAATAATGTCTCACAGCATTTCCATGCTTAGGCACATTTGTGACAATGTCTTAGGAGAAGTTGCAATGCTTAAACCCCTTTCCTACTCCCACCTGCGACCTGCCCCCACTTCTTGACGCACCCCATTGTTATCATGGCTCTCATTACTGGGAGCCCAGTATTTCAATTTTTGCACCCTGAAGCCCCAGATGACCAGTCATCGCAATAGCTAATATTTGAAGGGTTACTTTCCAGGCACAGCGCTAAGCTAAGCACTTTATATGTATCCATTTATTTCATTTTATCTCGTAATGACCTCATAAGGTGGTGTGATTATCATCTTTTGTAAATTTATGGAAATTGAGGTTAAAGAGGTTATTAAGCCCCTTGTCCATGTTGAACCAGGACTTAAATCCAAGGCTGTTTGGCGCCAAAACCTTTATTTTTAATGACTGGGCTCCTTATTTGAGGCCTTCAGGACAGCACTGAACACGTTGCTGCCATCTGAGCTCAGGCATTTCTGGAATCAGAAGGTACTTAGCTGAGTGGTTGCATTTCATCCCTTGTCTCTTTGGACAGTCAAGACAGCCCTACCTGTTGTGTAGATCTAGCTTTTAACCCTTTTTATTCTATCTGTGGAGACTGCACCCACAGTGAGAGGGAGTAGTCATTAGGGAAGGGTCAGGTCAGAATTTCCTCATCTTCCAGGACCATCCAGAGTCAGCTTCCTCTAAGCCTCCACCTGAGGTCTCGCCCAAGTGGACCTCAGACGTCATAGCCCTTTGGTCTTTTTTTTTTTTTTAATATCTTATTTATTTATTCATGAGAGACACACAGAAAGAGAGAGAGAGAGGCAGAGACACAGGCAGAGGGAGAAGCAGGTTCCACACAGGGAGCCCGACGTGGGACTCGGTCCTGGGGCTCCAGGATCACGCCTGGGCCGAAGGCAGGCGCTAAACCGCTGGGCCACCCAGGGACGCCCTAGCCGTTTGGTCTTATTGTGATTTGCAGCTTCCCGTAAATACATGGGGCACATTGGGGAAGAAGACTGGGTTTTCAAGAATCCTGAATTTTACACTGAACTATCATGCTCCCCCTTCTGCCCTCGACTCTCGTTTTAATGCCAGTAGCTGAAATCTGCCGTACAGAACGTGCTGGCTTTCAGTAACAAGAAAGCAGCAAAGCATTCATGGGAGGTCAGGCATCCCGTGCCACACGGAGTCGTGCCATTTCCTCATTCTGAGGAATCTATTGTAATCAAGTTATTAATTTCAGAATTTTTAAACACCTCCTGAGACTAAGCAGGAATCCTACAGACCCATCAGTGGGTGACCTTCAGGCAGCATGGCCAGAAGCTGCAAGTGTTTGAATGACAAAGGGGGATATTACACTCTGTGAGCACAGACGAGCGACTTCTGAAATTCTCTGAATAGACAGGACTGTCTCCTCTCTCATTCCCACAGCTTGTTTTCCTCAAAGATCTTTTTTCCATATTCTCCGCCTATTAGTCTGGCATGACTGGAAGCTACTACAAAAACATATTAGCATTTGTTTTTTGAGACATTTAACTTTGATAAACTTGTTTTTCCCCAATAATGAATTCTGAATTATGTAATTTCATTGCTCATTGTCTTCCTTCAAATGAATTCATTCAAGGTTTAAATGTAGTGTGAATTTGGCGAAAAAATTAAAACGCACATGTTTGGGAAGGAGAATACGGTTGTCATTTCTGTGTGAACACATCAGAATGCTGAAGTAATTCTACTTCTATCCTATTCAGGATATCATACTAGTTCTGACCAAAGGAACAAAAACATCTGGTCTAAATAAAGCTCAGAGTTAAAAATTATTGGTTTTTTTCTTTGGTGGTGGTTTATGTCTGCACATTTTTTTGGACCAGGAGTATTTATTGGCAATTTTCTCCTCCACTCCATCCCACATACTGTTTCCTGGGTGATTTTGCTAAAACCCAAGTTAGGTAATGTTGCTTTCCTTCATAGCCCCCCAGTGGCTGCCTGCGATGCTCAGGATTTAATTCACACTCTAGCTGGCCATCGCCTCTCCTGCCACCCCATCGTTTCTCCGTATGTCCAGCCAGCCTGGGCGATGTGGCGTCCAGCACATGCTCTGCCCCCGGCAGTGCCCAGGACTAGCGCCTGTGCTGGCATACCTTCCCCTCTCCTCTCCTCTCCCCTCCCCGTCTCCGCACCCCATTCACACCTGAGCCTCTGATTTCGGTCCATCTCTCAGGGCTCAGGCCACACTTCACCTGCCTGGGAAACCCGATCTCAGCCGCGTGATGCGCCTCTCCTTCTGCTCTCCTGTTTCTTATTATTTACCTTGGCCAGAGAGTCTGGCCCCCCTGCCTCCCCACACTTCAATATATTCTTGAGATCTGGATTTTTTTTTTGGGGGGGGGGTTAAACCTTGTTTGTTTCTGTGTTGCTAATGGCACATGTAATTTGGGGCACACCAGGGACCTGCCTTTTGCTTGGGGTCACGGAAGACTCTGGTTACACATGGCCATGCTTTGCGGGACACAGACATTCATTTTAGAGGCCTTTTGAGCTGCTTCTCTTGCTCACATAGGCCTCTGGTCTTGAATTTTCGACCTCTCTATCTAGAGGGCTTTCAGGCTAATGCTGTGTTACCAAATTTCAGTTTCTCGTAATCCTTGGGAGGAAAACTATCTTTTTAGGTCTGCCTCCGTGTGTGAATGTGTATCAGATGGCTCTTTGGGGAGAGGAAGAGAATATGTTTTTTGAATTTAGGTTGTTTTATATTAATTCCTTATCCGTATTTTTCCTTTGCTTTTCTCTTCCCATCTTTCCCTCAACTTCTCTCCTATAATTTTTGAGAGCAAAATAATAATTGAGAGCATTTAAAATTTACTTCATAAATTCAGATTTGCTGTGAAATAAGGATTTTGTGGAAATGCAAATGAACAGTGGAGACAGCAAATGGAAAGGTGAATTTGGGACCTGATAAATTCTGTCTCTTACATTTGAATTGAGGGTAAGAAGTTCGTTCTTAAGTAGGCCTTATCAAAAGTGTGCTCTTGGTATGTTGGTGAGGACTGCTTTCATTACTGCCCTATAATTAAAGCCCAGTCAGAATTACGCTTAACTCTTTCAGAGGGCAAAATCCTAAGTGACCCAACTGGCGAGTTGGTAGGACTGGGCACTGGCTCCTTCTGTACGCCATGTACCAGCTAGCTAGGGTGCTGAAAAAGTATAAGAAGTAGCTAAGACTGCACCAACTTCCTGAAATTATATTTCTTGAACTTTTATTCTGTAAAACCTTCACTAACTGCCTTGTTTTTAAAAATTTTTTTATTTGGAAATAATTTCAAATCTACAGAAAAACTGTAAGAATAAGAATAGTACAAAGAACACCCTAGTCCCCTTTACCCAGATTCACTTAATGTTATGCAACTTATTCCATTTGCTTTATTATTGAAAGGTCAGTTGCAGACGTCATGGTTCTTTACCTGTAAATACTTCAGTGTCTGTTGCCGAATAATGAGGATATTTTCTTATGTAATAGTTATCAACATAGTTATCAACTTCAGAGTTAACATTGATATAATACTTTTATCGTATTTACTGTCTGTATTCCAGTTTTAGACTCCATAATACTCCTTATGGCATTTTTTATCCTCCAGCAAAGAATTTAGTCTAGGACCATGTATCCTATATTTGTCCCATCCCTTCAGTTTCTGTTAATCTGAAATATATCCACAGCCTTTCATTGTTTATATGACATGGACATTTTTCTTTTTTATTTTATTTTATTTTATTTTATTTTATTTATTTATTTTTTTATTTTACCAGCTTCAAACAGCAGACATTGGCATTTTTAAAGAGCACAGTACTCCTCTTGCTCTTTCTGAATTGAACATTCCATATTTGGGGTTTATCTGATGCTTCCTCATGATTAGATTCATGTTATGCTCTCCTGGCCAAAACAGCACACATGATTTTGTATCCTGGGCTCGAATACCTCCGAAGTCTGTGATCTTCGGAGGCATTGCTCTGCTTCATAGAATTTTCTGCCTTGGAGCTGGGAAACCAAGTCTGTGGAAATGCTGTCAACAAGGAGATCATTTGCAAACCGAAACCATCCCTTAGGGTTTAGTTTATCTGACTCTTTATTAGAGGATAGATGAGGACATAGGTTGAGACCAAGAAACCCAGAGAAGGCAGTTGTAGGTTTCAACTGGCCTGAAAATGAAACGGGTTTTATCATGTTTAGTGTGAGATTACAGAAGAATACTCGCTTAGATGTGAACTCACTGTAATGGGGACATTCACTGGGCCCCCTTCTCTTAATTTATCACTTTCCAGTGCTTTGGACCTCTTGGGTAGTGATAGTTGGTGGTTTTGTTAATTCAGCTAAATATAGTTTTTAATCAGAACAATTTATTTTTTAAGACTGTATTTATTTATTCATGAGAGACACAGAGAGAGAGAGAGAGGCAGAGACACAGGCAGAGGGTCTGCAGGCTCCATGCAGGGAGACCGACATGGGACTCGATCCGGGGTCTCCAGGATTACACCCTGGGCTGAAGGCCGGCACTAAACCGCTGAGCCATCCAGCCTGCCCTAATCAGAACAAATTTAAAAAATAAATAGGACACATTGAGATGAAGGAGAAAATAAAATTCAAGTTTTTTTTAAAAATGAAAAAAGATACTCCTTTTTTATATTTTGTTAAATATTTTATAGCTTAGAATAATCATAGACATCTATTGGGCTTCAGAGAGCTAGAAAGCTAAACACTGAGAAGTGGCTATTAGGATTGAAAACAGAATTCTTCATCCATTTTTCTTGTTAATTGCCAATGCCAATAAAAGGAGGTAATGGAGTGTGTCTTTGTTAGTACAGATGGAATCTAAGTAGAACTATAAAGCAATATAATTCTCCCAGGAAATAATCCTATCTGGTCAGCTGTACCAACGTTAAAAAATGGCTTAAGAATAGTAACATTAGGGGGCACCTGGGTGGCTCAGTGGTTGAACGTCTGCCGTAGGGTCAGGGCATGACCCCAGGGCCCCAGGATCGAGTCCTGCATCAGGCTCCCCGCAGGGAGCCTGCTTCTCCTTCTGCATGTGTCTCTACCTCTCTCTCGGTGTGTCTCTCATGAATAAATAAATAAAATATTTTTTTAAAAAATAGTAACGTTAGTCCTGTTGGGGATCACTGGACTCCGATCCTTTCCAGCCAGGTGAATCTCCGGGTTTGTCATTGATGTTATATAGATGTTATTTCTATTTTGCTTGGCCCTTTCCAATGGTGCTGTACCACCAGAACCCCACACGGTGTTGGGTATCCACCTTTCCAGTTTTCCATGACATTTAGTTACAGTGGCCTTCCTGTTCTGAGTCAGGCCGCCTGATTTGTTTTCTAAGGACCAAATTAACTAAGCAAGCTACTCTAGTGGGTGAGAAAAAAGATACCATCTTGTCTCCAGGGATTTTTATTTTTTAAAAAACAAGCTGAATAAGGACAGACCTCAGTAGCTTTGCTTTATGGCCTAACTAGTTATTTTCACTTTGGGCTTCTAAGTTGGAATCCCAAGGCACTTGCCTCCCTGTGGCTGTGAAGACCCAGGTTGTTTCCAAGCGGTAATCTTTATAATGGCAAAGTTTTGAGCTTAAGCGACTGGTGAAATTTGTTCTGCCCAAAATACGTCCTGTGGAAGGGTGAGTATATTCTCAATCTGTTCACTGAAATGTTTCCTTGAGTAGGCAGGAAAATGGATTAATTATCATTTACTGTGGTTTTGGTAAACTCTTTGAGGATATGCCTAGATGACATTTTGAGGTGGATTTCTTTGCTTTTACATAGAACTTGAAATACTCCTTTTTAAATTCTTGGCAAGTAGCTAGACCGGTAAGTTTGTCATGGTTTAGAGAGAAGATCTTGCTTAAGCTTGAAAATATCTAATATAGGGACACCTAGGTGGCTCAGTGGTTGAGCATCTGCCTTCAGCTTAGAGCGTGACCCCGGGGTCGCAGGATCAAGTCACGCATCGGGCTCCCTGCACGGAGCCTGCTTCTCCCTCTGCCTGTGTCTCTGCCTCTCTCTCTCTCTCTCTCTCTCTCTCTCTCTGTGTGTGTGTGTGTGTGTGTCTCTCATGAATAAATAAATAAAATCTTTTAAAAAATATATCTAAAATTTTGGTTTAAAATCTCATATTACATCGTCGACTTGCTGGTGTAATTAACCCCTAGCAGTGCAAGGGGACCCCAGTACAGTTCTACAGTTCCATGCACATGGAGGTGCTCTGTTGCTAAGTCACTCAGCAGATCTTATGTGCATCCCTCCTGTCTGCTAGGTACTACTTGCTCTGAGCATTGGCAACGTGGTGGGGAATAAGACCGTGTTTTCATGGAGCTGATGCTTTAGAAATCACTATTGTCCAGTGATTGGGTTTAGTTCTCTGTTCCACTTAGCTTTCCTCCTGCCCCTGCTCCACACATTTCTGGCATTTGAACCATACTGAATAGCTTGCAGTTGCCTGAGAACATCATCTTCTCTGTCTCTCCCTTTCTTTGCTCCTGCTGTTCTCATTACCCAAAACGTTCTTCCGTTGTTTCTTTACCTGGCAATGTCCTCCACTTTATTTAAGACGTTAGCTCTAAAGTCATTTCTTCTCTGAATCCTTTGCATCTTCTGCTAGGCCAAGGTAACTGCCTTGATTTTGAGCCATTGTTGGAAATAAACACCCTTTCCAGAACAGAATTTACATTTCTTCATTGGAAAAACACAGCTCAGCTTGAAATTCCTAGCCAGGTGTCTCTTGCCTCCACCTCCAGAGCTAGGAGGTTCCCTCAGCTATCTGGATGGTTTAGCTGAATGGTGAGTTAACTTGTGGCACCATCAAGTGGCTCAGCCAGGCAGTGCCACTTAATTCTTCTACAAGATCAAAATAGTCCAATTCATGCCGTGTATCTACAGGCTGTGTGTGTGTGATAATATCATGGTGTAATTGGAAGGTATAATTATCAGACTGTCTTCATCCTGAGACACTCAGAACTTTACAGTACCCTTAGCAGGCTTGTGATCTGTAGATGGAAATGGTTTTTTAAATCTTCACGGTTTTTTTGTAACCAGGACAGAGATGTGACATGACTTGCTTATATTCCTTCATTATTTGAGATAGTCCATATGCATGTGCTTTCTTTTGCTTTGTTTGCTAATCACCCCGGTAAACAAAGTTTTCTTTCCTTACCGATTGTTAGGGCCTCGGTGAACTCTATTTCATACTGTGTGAGTCTGAGATCTCTCTTTGGTTTGTGCTCTCACATGCTATATCCTTGCTGCAGCGTGGCTTTGAAATTAAAGACCTTTTTGACAAAATATTTTTGCTCAGTAAGTGGGGGAATACATGAATAGTGATAAATTCTCAAAACCCATTCATTGAGTCTTTACTGAACAACCAAACCAGTTATTCCAAACTATAGAAGGAACCTCTTGTGCCATGACTCAGGACCCATTGTAATAGGGTTTCCTTGTGTCCTATGTTGAATCCTCCCCAAATGAACCAAACTTAGGCAGTAAGGAACCTGGCACTACTTACGGTTTTCTAACAAGTAGTGTTCAGATCTGTCATCTCACACCACTCCCGTCAAGTGTCTTTCTCTTGGTTACCCAGTCTGTTTCCGTATGGTTATAGTGTCTCCCCTGCAAAGAAAAAAGAAAAAAAAAAGTGGGGGGAGGGATGATCCTGTCTTACAGTAGCAAAGTGTATAAAATTCAGACACAGAGTAGTAAACTGAGGAGGAAGGGTAGTAGTAGCTAAGGTCTGAGAAAGGGAAATGTTTATTTTATTTAATTTTTTAAAAGATTTTATTTATTCATGAGAGACAGAGAGAGAGAGAGAGAGAGAGAGAGGCAGAGACACAAACAAAGGGAGAAGCAGGCTCCATGCAGGGAGCCCGACGTGGGACTCGATCTCTGGTCTCCAGGATCACGCCCTGGGCTGAAGGCGGTGCTAAACCGCTGAGCCACTGGGCTGCCCGAAATGCTTATTTTCGAGGCACCGAAGCTGATAGAACCATGTTAATGAGCCACAAATTATGAAAATGAGCATTATGTCTTTAGGAGGATAAAATGTCAAAAGTCTTCATGGTGGTTTTGTAACCATGTTCAGTGTAGTGAGGGTAGAAAGAGTATCCTCTCCAGAAGCTCTGCTCTCTAGGTTTGTCTAGTGCCTCCTTTTTAAAGGTTCAAAAAGGTCTATTTGTGCATATATATATATATATATATATATTTTTTATGATAGTCACACACAGAGAGAGAGAGGCAGAGACACAGGCAGAGGGAGAAGCAGGCTCCATGCACCGGGAGCCCAACGTGGGATTCGATCCCGGGTCTCCAGGATCGTGCCCTGGGCCAAAGGCAGGCGCCAAACCGCTGCGCCACCCAGGGATCCCTATTTGTGCATATTTTTAATGCTTTCTCAGTCTCAAATTGTTTGGTTGATAGATTGCCTTGTAGTTTATTTTACGCTGTCATGTATTCTCTCAAGCTGGCTCTTGGTGTGCTTCTCCCTTCTTCTCTCTCTAAAGATTTCACCCGAATGTCTTCCCCATGTTTCTGCACCAGGAGAAATCAAGCGTCACTGAATTCCGAGTTTGTGGTCTCCCTAATCAACAGCATGTTTTTTTTTTGTTTCTGTTCTTTGTGGTGCGGATGTGTGTTGCCTTTCCAGAGTGTCCTGCCCTACTACGTAGCTACCAAGCTATCCAAAATCCGAAAGCCAACCCTGGATAAGCCATCTGCAGAGACGTATGTGAAGTCTGCGATTCAAACGGTGGGCCTGCAGTCCCGAACCACCGGGTATCTGATCCATTCTCTCATGGTATGTGGATTTCCGAGTCTCCAGTCAGTACTTTGGTTTGGGGTTTTCTTCCCCACGGAGTCACGGAATAGCGTGTGATGTATTAGCATCCACACAATAGCATGTGATGTATTAGCATCCATACACCGTCTAGACTTACTAATGAGGCATTTACGTCTTATTTCAAACGCCCAAGAACTTTAAAATTTACTGACAAAACAACAATATAGTGAAACATAAGATCAGATGCTCTAAATTAGCCCAAATTGTAGGCTGTAATTACATATCTCTCTGTTTCTTTCCATAGGACTCAATAATTTCAGCCATGCCTACCTGGCTGTATTTTAAAATAACCATGAATTTGGGCAAGTCCACGCGGGCTCACTACATGAAGAAAGCCAAGAAGAACTAAGCGTTGATAACTGCACTGAGTAGCTTGGCCAGGTGTGCCATCCTACGCACGCTGATGGCAAGGCACCCACCCCTCTCCAAAATCTGCGGTGGTCATTTTATCAGTTATTATTAGGCTAGAAATTGGCATAATTGGGAGAAAAGCAGAAGTTGCTTTCAGGAGTTTTGGACATATATTTTGAATTCTACCAGGAATTATTTTGAAGTTTAGGATAAATGCTCATATCAATTGGACATAAAACGAATACTAGCAAGAACAGTGTAATGGGAAGCAACACCATTTTGGCAAATCACAGAGGGACAGAATCAGACATAATGCTTCAGTGGTTTCATCTGGCCCCAGATACCATTGATGATGGTTCTTGTATTTTCTCTGAAATATACTTTACAAAGTAATGGCTAGCTACTTTCTTTTGTTTTTAACACTTTGAGGGAGTGGAGATTAAATGATTCACTTATGGAAGGACACACTGCAATACGCGTTGCTACGAAATTTCCTAAAAACATGTCCCAATTTGTACACTTATGTGGAACTTTTTGTTCTCAAGGATAGCTAATGACGTAAAAATAATACACAGAAATATGGAGCTCCTTTTGACACCTGAAGCCCACTAATACATGCTTTCCCCTAATACATATTTCTTCTCAAGTTTAAATGCATGTAAATACTGAAAACTAGATAGTATGATTTATAAGTAAAAGGACCAAAAAATACATTGATATGAGCAGCCACCGATGGTGCCACTAACACCCTGACCCAGGAGAGTGGCCTGCTTGGGCCTCTGCCACCTTCGCTTCTGCACCGCACCAGTCCTGTTCGTGTATGTGACCGCAGGCTATTCCTAAAACCATAATGATAACACAGAAGTGGCCTTCTGCTTTTAAATTGATACCCTATACATAGCAAGATGACTAGTTTTAATAAAAGGTGATATAACCACAGTGTTGATTGAAGATGTATTTCTTTGGTGCTTGAAATTAAGGCTGTTTTTACACTTGCTTTTACTATAAATTAAACTTTACTTGTATCCTGCTCCAAAGCTTGTTTTAGGGAAATCCCCAAGAAATAATTCAATATTATGAAACAAGTAACACAGAAGGTAGGTCTTTACCAAGGCTTGTTGGTTCTTAGGCTCTGAGTTTTAAGCACGAGGAGATTTTTCCAAAAAAATAAATAAGAAAAAGTAATCACATTGTTTAGGTGTTTCTAGCTCTTAATTTTGCCAGCTAAGGATGTAAAGCAAAAACCGGAAGATTCAAAGTACTATCGCTCTTAGCATCATAATATAGAAGAAAAGACATTTTAGCACCCAAAAAGCAAGACCATAATCTCAGAATCATTCAAATTGAATAAACTTAGTTTTATGAAAAACACATTGCCTTTTTCTCTCTCATTTTGTTGTTGAAATGGTGAAACCACCTGGGCGATATTTCATTTACTCTCACACGTTGTTTGGTTGACTGTTGTGGGTAGTAAGTAGTTTTCGGTGGAGGCTGTAGCGCTGGGGAGGGATCGATGTACAAACACGCAAAATATGTTCTCTTCTATCCAAGTTGGAAAACAGTTGTGTTCTGACCAGGAAATCCTGTCGCCATCTCCAAACTCCAGAGCTGTAGCTTTTCCTACTTCAACTTGGCAAGTATCCTCTTGTATCTGACACTCAAGACTGAAGATAGTGGCATGAAAATCTGTCTCTAGGCAGGTGAAGTCATTAAAAGAGAGCCCAGCACACTCTGAACTTTCAAAATAGTGGAGCACGCTTTTTAGATTTACGTGCGTTTCCGCGTGATGTCCTAGTCTGATGCGTGCCAGGTAAGGTTTGAACCCGAACCAGTAAAGTAAAAGAATGATTTGTAGAATCCGCAGGCTCACGCTTCTCATTCTCTCGCCCATCCGAGCGGTGGCATGGGGAGCACGACAGGATCATGTGGCCCGCGTCATGACGTCGCCGCTCTGCTGGTCTGTGCCCATCCAGCACGCGCTGGGAGGGACTGCAGGTGTTGTCCTCCTTCTCGGCCTCCTCAACCGTGGCCCTGCCCTAAAGAGATGAGCTCCCGTTGTGGGATCGTTTGTCGCGTTGAAACAGCAGAACTGCCCAGTGAGCGGCGAGTGGTGGCGTGCGGTGACGCCTCGCAGGATGAACTCAGGTAGTGCTCTGATTTTTTTTTTTTTTAAGTCTGTTGACACCAGCAATTACCTGAGGGTTGGGTGGCCCCGGATTCTGCTACTTGCTCTGCAGTTACAGTGTCAAAGGAAATTCTCAAAGCTCTCTGTCGAACACGTTAGAAACGAATTCAGTTAGAAATGTTGAAGGCCTCACGGCTTTGTACTTTGCTGCTCACCTCGTGATGAAAACCTGCACATGTGGACAGAACCTGAATTCCTTACAGAATGGGATTCTTTCAGCAGAGGGCTGTGCGGAAACCTCTAGAAGGGAACACACACATATTACATGAAACCGTGTCCGTGTGACAATGGCACCCTACAACCTCGTCCACTCCTCCTGCGCCCGTCCCTCCTCCTGAGGGTGCTGGAGAAGCTACAGCGAACGAAGGAACAGAAGTTCTTGCCCCCGAGAGCTTCTAAGGGAGCTGGGGGAAGGGGAGGCAAGTCAAGGAGGGAGACAGGTGACGAGACAGAGACATAGTGGAAGTGCTGTGTGCTGCAGGGGAGGATGTCACGCAAGGTAAGGGGGGGCACCAGTGTGCGCGGGGTGAGAGTGGGGGGCTGGTACTCAGGCTGGGCGTGCGGCAGGTGGCGTTTGAAGGGTCCTGGGAGCCTTTCGGGGAGGAGGGAAATCCGGCGGGACCCGCCCACCCGAGGAAGCGGGGGCGCACATGCTTGGCACGTCCAAGAAGTGCCGGGGGTACCTGCCTCCATGGAGTCTGCTGGAGACCTCAGATCCTGTACTATTTTTTTTTTTTTTACTTAAATTCAACTTAATTGACACATACTGTCAAGTTTACGTGGCTGCTTTTTAGTATAAAATCACCTTTACGTCCTTGGTCATCATTTGCTCTCGTTGGACTGCTGGATTCAAGCTGCTGGTATTTTACTTGGAATTTTTGCATCTGTATTTAGGAACCGGTCTGCCTTTCGTGTCGATACTGTAACTGCATTAAATGAGCTGGGGAATGTGGTTCATTTTACTGGGCTCTGGAAGACGAGAAGATCGGAGCAGTCTTTGTCCTTCGAAGTTTATAAAAGCATCTGACCCTGGTATTTACTTGTGGGAAGATTTTTAACTACTGCTGATGTTGCTTTCATGGTGATAAGACTACTCAAGCTTTTGATTTTTTTTTTTGAGTCAATTTTGAAAAAAAAAATTCTAAGCATTGACTCCTGTTTTTTCCCAAATTTATTGTCATAACTTGAGGAATCTTAGATTTTTTTTGAGCTTGCTCGTTCCTTTCCCAATATCCTCTGTGTCTTCTCACCTTCTTTTCCCTGACCATTTTGCTAGAAATTTGTCTCCCTTAGTAGTTTTTAAAGAACCAAATTAAATTTGTCAAAAGTTTCAGATTAAAGAAATGTGACAAGTAAATGTTAACATGATCTTGGGTTGAATCTTGATTAAGAATGACATGTTTGAGACAATGGGTGAGATTTGAGTAAGGCATGTAGCTTAGGTAATCACACTGTACCGTGTTAATTTCCTGAGTTTGATCGTTGTGCTGTAAAAAAGTAAAAAAGCTCTTGTTTTTTAGGAAATACACACTAGAGTATTTAGGGATAATGAGACATTAACTATGCAACTTAATCTCAAAGGGCTCAGAAAAAATTATGTGACAGAAAATGATTAAACAAATGTGTTAAAATGTTAACATTGGAAGAATATAGGTGAAAGGTGGTATATGGCAATTCTATGTACTGCTTTGCAAAATTCCTATAAATCTGAATTTTTTTCAGGATAAAAGTTAAATATTTTGTTATTGATTTCTAAGTAATTGCATCGTGGCCAGAGAACATGTGGGTATGACACAGCTTAGGTGAGTTATACTTCCTCTACCTCAGTTTTGCCTTACTAAAAATGAGAATAACAACAGCACCTGCACCTATCTCGTAGACTGTTGGTGAGCAAAAATTCCTATTTCTGAAGTGCTCAAGGTGTAACGTGGCATAAAGTAAATATGTTTATTCATGTTGCAGAAGGCTGAGCAACAGCCCCCAGAGATACCAGGTCCGCATCCCTGCACCCTGTAACTGCTGTGTTATGTGGGGAAGGGTCTTTGCAGATGTGATTCGGTTAGAGGATCTTGGGATGAGATTATCCAGGCGGACCCTAAATGGAATCACACATTAGTAAGAGGACGATTACACATGGGGAGAAAGCAGCGTGAGCTCGGAGGCAGAGCTTGGAAGTCAAGGAAGGCCATCAGCCTCCAGATGCCATCAGTCACCAGCGCGGGGTTACTCCCCAGCGGCTCCAGGGAGTCAGGGCCCCGCTGACCCCTTGATCTTGGTCTACACACCGACTCTGGACTTCTGGCTTCCAGAACCGTGAGAGAGTAATCGTGTTTTAAGCCACTGAGTTCACGGTAATATTACAGCAGCCATAGGAAACTAATACAAATGTAAACTTGTTAATATTACGGATTCTTAGAAAGTGTTTGAGATGTAGTTTATGTCTAGGTGTGGCTAATTTTTTTTTACCTAAATTCAATTTAATTGACATATACTGTATTACTAGTGTCAGAGGTAGAATTTAGTGATTCGTCAGCTGCACACAACACCCGTGCTCATCACACCCCGTGCCCTCCTCACTGCCCGTCCCCAGTGACCCCGTCCCCCTCCACGCCCCCTCCACCAACCCTCAGTTTGGTTCCTAGAGTTAAGAGTCTCTTACGGCTTGCCTCCCTCTCTTTTTTAAAATGGACCCCCTGTGCTCAAGAAGAATGTTTATTTTCCGAGTGTTTTCTGTATACGTACACCAAGCTTGTTGATTGTGCGAACCTCCATATCTGCACTCACAGTCCTTTGCCTGACCTGTCAGTAATTGGAAGAAGTGCTCTGAAATCTCTCACTGTCATGATGGATTTTCAAATTCTCCTGGTTTTATCAGTTTTTGCTTTATACATTTTGAGGCTATCTTGTTAGTGAATAAAGTTTAGAATTATGCTCTCCTGACGAGTTGAACTTTTTCTCTTTTTTCTTTTTTTTTTTTTTTTTTGGTCATCTAGTGACAGCCTTATTGCTAATGCTTTTTGCCTTAAAATCTGTTTTCTATGTTACCAAACTAGCCATCTCTACTTTATTTTGATTAGTATTTGGTAGTATGTATTTTTTTCAATCATTTTATTATCTTTCTATGTACTTGATGTGATTCATTTAATTCCAATTATCTATTGAAAATGTACCATATTCACCTGTTTTCTGCTTTTCCTCTGTTTTTATGTATTCATAAAAATTGTTTTAAAGTTCCTTCTGCTTACTTCTACATTTGGGTCATCTGGAGATCTACTTGTTTTGTTTTTTCTTGATGATCAGTCACATTTTTCTGATTCCTTGCATGTCCCATAATTGTTCTTTTATTATATGCCAGAAATTCTCTGTAAAAGAACCACAAAGACTGAGGTCAATGATGTTGCTCCCCAGAGAAGGCTCAGAGCAAGGACTGATGGATCCAAGCAGGTATGAGCTGAGCCAGGGCTAGGTTGCCACCTTTTTAGCCTCGGTGCCCTGTGGTTTCAAATGTCGGCATAAGAAACCTGTCGCATGTTTCTTGTGGGCTCTTCTTCCTCAGAACTTTGTTTTTTAAGCACAGAGACTGTACACGGTTTCGCCTTGTCTTCCCGGCCCAGCCCACTCCCTTTTCTTGCTCTGGTGGCTCTGCAAATGCCTCCAAGTTGGCTCCGCAAACTCGTGCATTTAGGGGCACTTAAGGGCTCCCAGGGTTCCAGGCCATCAGGCCATCCCACCAGTTGTCAGGGGGTCTGCTGGATTCTCTGTCTCCCCCTGGAGATGCCACTGCCTTTCTCAAGCCCAATCCCCAGCTGTCACACAGAAAATGTCCCCAGAGGGATCCCTGGGTGGCTCAGCGGTTTGGCGCCTGCCGCCGGCCCAGGGCGTGATCCTGGAGACCCGGGATCGAATCCCACGTCGGGCTCCCGGTGCATGGAGCCTGCTTCTCCTTCTGCCTGTGTCTCTGCCTCTCTCTCTCTCTCTCTCTCTCTCTCTCTCTCTCTGACTATATTAAAAAAAAAAAAAGAAAATGTCCCCAGAGAACAATGCGGTCAACTTACCCGGCAAGGGCTCGTTCTTCAGCATTTCAGGTAAGCTAGTCTGCACTGCATCACAGAGCTCTAAAGTCTTCAAAGAGGGGAAAAAAATAAAAACAAAACTAATTTACTTGTTTATTTTCTTTTTCTTTTTTTTTTAATACTTGTTTATTTTCTGTGTCCCAGTGGAGTAATGGCCTGCTGCTACCATGGCCCACCCAGAAGTAGAGTCTTCGTTGGGTTTTTTGGTTTGTTTTTTTTTTTTTTTTAAGATTTTATTTATTTATTTGAGAGAGAGAGAGCACAAGCAGGGGGAGGGAGATGCAGGCTCCCCGCTGAGCCTGAGCAGGGAGTGGGTGGGGGTGGATCCCAGGACCCGGGGACCAGGGGACCAGGCCGAGCGGGAGGCCCCAGCCCGGGGCAGACACTTCCAGACCTCATTTGGGCTTTTAATTTTCGCTGTTATGTTTGATTCTTTTTCAAAAGTCGTTCTGCAGTTCTGGTGGTTTTGCACTAATGCTTTTAATGCTTTATGTGAATATGAAGTGTCAGTTGCAATAATGCAATACTTCGGGATCACTGTGAGAGACGGGGCAGCCCGCAGGCAGCAGAGGGGCCAGGCGGCCTGGCTGCCAGCTTGGGGTGGGCGCTCCCGGCCCAGCCGCCCAGCCGTGTCCTTGCAGCCGCGGGAGCCTGCCCGAGGTCCCGGCCTGGCCGCGGACACCCCGCCGTATGCTCGGAGGCGGCCCCACCGGCCCGCGGCCCCTCGTGCCCTCAAGGCAAGCCTGCAGCGTCGGTCTGCACCTGGAGTCGCTGCGGCTGGACGGAGCCCCTGACCTACGGCCTCTGGGGTGAGCAGGCACAGACGCGGGGTGCAGCCACCCGCACCCACCAGCCCTCGATGGGCGGCGACGTTGGTGTGGCCCCGCAGCCCAGGGTCGCCGGTGCACACGGGCGGACTTCGCGGAGCCGCCGGCCTGGGCAGGGAGACAGGGCAGCCCAAGCAGCGCACGACCCGGCCTCGGGGGTGGCTGGGCAGGGGGGCCCGCCCGCTACTCAAAGGACCAGGCCCAGCTGCCCCTACTTGCCGGCTGTTGCTCCCAGCCTGCTACCACGATCACCCTGAAACAGGAACCAAAAGGACACAGAAACTATATAGTTCCAGGCAAAAAACAACAACAAAAAAACCCACCACCCCACCCCACCCCCGACACACACAAACCACACACACACACACACACACACACACACACACACACAAATCCCATCATAGGGTATCACCTCAAGGGGAAGGGACATCGTAAGGACACAGACACCGCAGGTGCGGGGACACCACTACCAACACCTTGGTCCAGGCCGGCAGGGACGAAATGGTAACCCAGCCCCCAAGGACACCACCAAACGGGGAGGCGCTGCCGTCTGTTGCGAAGTCCGCATCTACATGGCACGCTCCGAGTCCTCGGCTCCCCGTGAGGGCTTCACGGGGTTTTCAAGCAAAGGACGGGCAGTCTGTTCGGATACAGGAGCAAGTGATGTGCAGCGCCTCCAGATGTGCAGGGTGACCTCGGGGCCAGCGGGTCCAAGCACATGTCGCTCCTCCAAACCCTGGGGTCCTGTTGCTCTCAGGCCGATGCTGTTGCCTCACAAGAGGAGCCCAACGAGGCTGGGAGCCCCACTAGGCTGCACTTGGCCCACGGAGGCCTGAGCACTGCCCGCTGACAGGGGGGCCCTGAGGTCAGCAGGAGCCCCTTCCCCTCCACCGCACCTGCAGCCCCTGCTGCGGAGATGCTGAGGGCTGGACCCCATGGCGGGGGAGACACGCTGGCGCGGGCAGGCCAATGCAGGCTCCTGATGGGCAGGGCGCCCCCTGATCAACACAGACGCTGCAGGGACGGGGAACCCGGATGAGAGGCTCACGTGCAACAGCTTTCTGATACTATATACTCCCGGGTATTGAGGGTAACCAACCTGAGCCATCCTGCCCTTAGCATTGTGTCCTGGAAAACCTCTCGGGCCCTACATGCATCCTGAAGGTTCCTAAACTTTCCTTGCATCCGAATCACCTTGAACACTTGGTTTAAAAAAAAAAATGCAGGTGATTTTGCTAAAAAGACAGTTAATTGGGAATCCCTGGGTGGCGCAGCGGTTTGGTGCCTGCCTTTGGCCCAGGGCGCGATCCTGGAGACCCGGGATCGAATCCCACGTCGGGCTCCCGGTGCATGGAGCCTGCTTCTCCCTCTGCCTGTGTCTCTGCCTCTCTCTCTCTGTGTGTGACTATCATAAATAAATAAATAAAAATTCAAAAAAAAGACAGTTATTTTGGATGCAAGCGGGCCATGGATTGATTTTTGACAACTGTTCAACTTGGTGGCTGAAGAGGTGTTCATCACTACTCCTAGGGACCCCTTCGTCCAAACTTCTTTGTCCCTGTTCCAAAACTGTAATCACTGAAAAGAAAGAAATGACCTCCCTTGGGAGACACAGCCAAGGTTCCCGATCCAGGAACAGACACTGTTCAAATTACTAGTTGATGGGGACCAAAAAGAAAAAAGAACAACAAAAAAAAAAAAAAAAAAAAAAACCAAAAAGACAGAAATCACAGTGTGGCCTTACTACTTTTCATTACTTACGGTTCTAGGATAAATCATTTTTGCTCAATGTCACAAAGCAGAACAAAGGATGATGGATGCCGTGGATCAGGTGGGCGGGGTACCCCGAGTGTGCAGGTCAGCGGCAGGTGGTACAGGCCAGGTTTTAAGGACCCCTGGTGCCTGCTACGTGGTAGGCCTGGGAACAGGCGGGGCTGCTCGTGCCACGTTCGCAGGTGAGATCCGCGGTTAGAGATGCTTCTCGGAGACTCAAATGCGGTGAAGACCCTTCTTTCCCTCCCCGCCCCTCCACTGATCAGATGCATTTTTGCTTTTTTATTTTTTAAGCCGTCTTCGTCGAATTTCCGCGGAGCTCCAAGCCCCTGCGCAACCCTACGCGCAGCAGCAGCTCGGCCTCCCCTCGGCGCTTCGCCCAGGTCACGCCCAGGTCACGCCTGGCTCTGATGGGAGCGCGCCCCGTGGGCGTCCGGGCCTTCCCGGGGAGCATTCAAGTCTTTTTTTTTTTTTTTAAAGATTCTATTTATTTATTTATTCGTGAGAGGCACACACAGAGGCAGAGACGCGGGCAGGCCCCCCGCGCGGAGCCGATGCGGGAATCGATCCGGGACCCCGGGGTCACGCCCGGAGCCGAGGCCGATGCTCCCCCGCGGAGCCCCCGAGCGTCCCTAACCTTGGGTCCTGCGCTTAGGGCACCACGACCCGTGTCCCAGCAGCCCCGCCGCCGCGGCGCGGACCCGGGAGGCGGGGGCCGAGCTGCCTGCGGTCCGCCCTGCGGGGCCCGGCCCAGCAAACGCGGCCTCCCCCACGCTCCCCGCTGTGCCCCCGCTGCGCGTCCCCCGGTCCCCCCTGTGACCCCCATGCCCCTCTAGGCCCCTTCGGCCCCCGGCCCTCGCGGCGCGGGGAACGTGGAGCCGCCCGGACCGCGGCGTCAATGCGCCGGAAGCGGCGGCGCGTGACGTCAGAGGAAGCGGCGGGTGCTGCGAGGCGGCGGCGGCGCGGGGAGCTCCAGGCGAGAGGGCCGCCCACCCCCACCTCCCCCGCCGCGCCCGGGGCTCCCGGAACACGAGGCGCGGCCGCCGCGGAGGCCCAGGCTCTTCCCTCGCGGGGACCGCGCGGCCTGCACCGCGGCGCCCGACCTCCCGGAGCGGGGACTCGGGCCGGAGGCGCTCGGCGGGCGGGCCGGCAGGTGTGGCTCGGGGGGAGGGGCGATCGGGGGGGGGGTCTAAGCAGCTCAGGTCATGACCCGGGGACCTGGGTTCGAGTCCCGCATCGGGCTCCCCTGCAGGGATCCTGCTTCTCCCTCTGCATGGGTCTCGGCCTCTCTCTGTGTCTCTCATGAATAAATAAAATAAAATAAAATAAAATAAAATAAAATAAAATAAAATAAAAGCCAGGATGCAAGGTAGGCTGAGTGAGCAGCTCGTGTGCTCGGGGATGGGCCCGGGGTCGGGCGGCAGGGCTGCTGCTTGCCTCCCCGTAACTCCTTTGGGCGGGTGGCAGGCTCCCTCTTCCCCCCAGCTATTAAACGAGAAGGAATGACACACCTATCACCTGCGGAGAGTTTGCTAAAGGTCCACATTCCTGGGCCCAGCTCAGCGCAGTTCAGCAGGGCTGGAAACCGTAGGCCGAAGAGGCCACAAGGAGAGATCGTAACCCCGACCTCTCCTTGCTTGGATCAGTAAGGAAATGGATCACGGGTTCAGAACACGTGGCACGAAGCTCCCTGTTTTTGTCTTTTTGCAGCCATGCTCCTGTGTTTGCAGAGGGGAGCTAAAGTTTCTATTGGCTAAAAAAAAAAAAAAAGTCAAATTAGTATTAATGGCAATTATGAGGTGTCTTTTATTATTATTATTATTATTATTATAAGCTGGAAATTAATGAAGTTTTTTTTAAGATTTTATTTATTCATAGAGACACAGAGAGAGAGAGGCAGAGACACAGGCAGAGAGAGAGGCAGAGACACAGGCAGAGGGAGAAGCAGGCCCCATGCAGGGAGCCCGACGTGGGACTGGATCCCAGGTCTCCAGGATCACACCCCGGGCTGCAGGCGGTTCCAAACCGCTGCACCACCGGGGCTGCCCAGTTAATGAAGTTTGAATGTTAATCTGCCTCCTGTTGACTTCCTGAGTTGATTTTCCATCAACCCGGTGGTCCTTGTACAGGCCCACTAACGGCATCTGCAGTGCTTGTCGCAAAGACCCACACTTGTATCTGTCCAGGGTCAGATCTTCGGAGACAAGGCCATTAACAAGCATTAACGAGCTTCCAGGGAAGTTTGATGTGCCCCAGTTATAATGGAATATGGAAATGCCCTTGGAAACGGAGTCTCAGCCTATTTCTCAGTATCCATACAGGTGACGGAGTAGTACAAGTTTCTTGCAGACTAGTAAGGCTAATGTGGTTTATGATAGGTCTTACAATTTTTTTTTTCAAGACCAGAGAGAGGCAGAGATGCAAGCAGAGGGAAAAGCAGGCTCCCTGCAGGGAGCCCGACTTGGGACTCCATCCCAGGACCCCTGGGTCACGCCCTGAGCCGAAGGCAGAAGCTCAACCACTGAGCCACCCCGGGGGGCCCAGATCTTAGAATTTCTTAATATGTACTTTGTTGTGAAAGAAGCAAAAGCACTCTAAGATTGTTGGGGCGCCTGGGCGGCTCAGTTGGTTGAGCGTCCAACTCTTTGATTTTGGCTCACGGTTGTGAGATCTAGCTCCACGTCAGCCTAGTGCTGGGCAAGAAGCCTGTTTAAAAATTTTTATTTCAAAAAAAAAAAGAAAGAAAGAAAGAAAGGAAAAAAGGACTATAAAATTGCAAAAGAAAACATTAAAACCAGCAGTCCTAAGTGATAGTAGGCTCCTTGTTTGAGATTTTGTGATGACAAGTTAATTTTACATAGAATCTCTGATTGCATTGACACTGAAAGGATTATAATTACTCCCTTAGGTAGTCCATGCTCCCAATCCTAACTAAAAGCACTTTTTTTTTTTTTAAACAGATACCATTGTGTGGTTTTAATCAGTGAAATCTGAAAGCTAACTGCAGAAGCCTTTTTGGTCAGCATGGAGGACAAAAGACGCCGAGCCCGAGTACAGGGAGCCTGGGCTGGCCCTAAGAGCCAGGCCACTGCGCAGCCAGGCAAGGACTTGTCGGGATCTCGTGTGAATGCACTTGCATTTCTGTTGATGTTAAGGAATTGCTTAAAATGTACCTAGTACTTCTATTTTCTTGATGGTGATCTTTTATTGAAGATTGGTGTTTGGTGGTCCTCATATTTAGTCACTGCTCTCAAACGTCTCAGTGTGTGTAGTGGGGTCTTCAACCGACTATAGTTAATTTCTGGGTGTCATAGGCTATCTTCAGGTAGATTTTGTGGGCCCCTGCTCTCTAGAACAGACTTTCTGAGTCTGGTTTGAATCTGTTCTCGCTCTTGATTCAGCTGCCACTGCTAGAAGCCATCTCCACCAGAGACCTGGTCAGACCTGGATGAACCAGGAGCATCAGCTTTTGGACAAGCAGTTTGTGTTCGAAGAACCCCAGCAGGTAAGTTCTTGTTTCTGCTAGGACACTAACAGATTTGCTTGTAAAAGCTATATTCACATAGTAGGCATTCCATTAGTGGCTGGATAAATTCATGAATAAAAGGCCTGTAATAATAATGAAATGTGGAGCACCAATTCTTTAGTCTGTCTAGATTCTTTATAGTCTGCTCCCAACATGACCACATAGAATTTCCATTTTGGGGGAAAGGATGTTATACCACGACTAACACGTACATTGGTTATCTGAGTTCTAACAGTTCTAAAACCATATCGTCTTTGGTGCTAGTGTAGCAGACGTCTCTGGAATTGAGTTGAAATTTTCAGCTAGTACAATGCCTGATTTTTTAGCTTTTTTTTTTTCTTGTGGGGAAAACTTGTAAGAAACAGTGAAGATTCACTGTTTTCAGTAACATGGAAAACTAAAAATCAGGCATCTTTCTGTAATAGTGATTGCATAAATAATATTTAAAGTTTATATCTTCTGTTTTATTTTTTAAAAGATTTAATTTTATTTATTTATTTGAGAGAGACAGAAAGTCGGGATCCCTGGGTGGCGCAGCGGTTTAGCGCCTGCCTTTGGCCCAGGACGCGATCCTGGAGACCCAGGATCGAATCCCACATCGGGCTCCCGGTGCATGGAGCCTGCTTCTCCCTCTGCCCCTCTCTCTCTCTCTCTCTCTCTCTCTCTCTCTCTCTCTCTCTCTGTGACTATCATAAATAAGTAAAAATAAAAAAAAAATTTTTTGAGAGAGACAGAAAGAGTGTGCATGCTCATGAGCCAGTGGAGGGGCAGAGGGTGAGAATCGCTCAAGCAGACTCTGCGTGCTAACTGTGGAGCCTGAGGCAGGGCTTGGTCTCAGAACCCTGAGATCATGACCTGAGCTGAAACCAAGGGTCGGACGCTTAACTGGCTGCACCATGCAGGTGGCCCAATATATCTTCTATTTTAGAAGATCTCCTGGAATGAAGGTTTTTCAGAATTATCGGCTGCTCTGAAAATGGATTAATTCTGCTTTTATTATTTTTTCTTCCCCACTAGCAACTGTGAAATAGTTCTAAGAAAATTAGACAAGGTCTCTGGTGAGATAGTAAGAGCTTGAAATAAGAGAGAGATAGTTTTAAATCTGACTTAATTTTTGCCAGAAATGAGAGGATATGGTAATCTTGCAAATAAGCCTTTCTGAGCATTAAGGATCATTCCAGAAGTAAAACCTGCCTGTTTCCTTACAGGTAGTACGCAGAGCCCCAGAGCCACGAGTGATTGAGTAAGTAATTTCCTGCCTTTCTGCATTTGTTGCCCACAGTAAAATGGAGAGCCCAGGTCTCTCCCTCACCCAGTTTTTCCATCTGGAAGAGATAACGGCCCAATCACTGTCTTAATTTGAGGCTGGAATAGTTATATCTTTACATGTCTTTACACCTGGTCTCTTGAGAAGCCTTCCTCGATTTGCTGGTGGTGTGAAAAATGCAACAAGATTATGTGTGTACCTTAAACTCGGACACTGGTGTTGATTTCCTGACCCTGTTTCATTAAGATCCCTGTAGATAGTAAGCTAAAGTACCTCCTAGCTAAAAACAGAGGGGAATTTTTTTCTGAGTCATTGAAACATGGCGCTTTTTTTTTTTTTTTTTAAGATTTATTTATTTGAGAGAGTGTGTTCAGGGAGGGGCAGAGGGAGAGAGGAACTTTGGCAGATTCCTCTCTGAGCTTGGAGCCCATTGCAGGGCTCAATCTCAAGACTCAGAAATCATGACCTGGCCTGAAACCAGAGTCAGACATTTAACTGGCTGCACCATCCAGGGGCCCTAAAACACGGCTTTTTGAAGTGACTTTAGTCAGGTACTATTTTACTAGCAACACTTATGAAAGCTGCTAGAAATCTAAAGGGCCTTACGTGTTCTTGCAATTGTTCCAGAGCAATTTAAATTCCTCTTATATTGATTTGTATATAAAATATCCTTTTTAATTTATAATTCCTCCTACACTGATCTGTATGTAAAATATTCTTTTGCAGAATTAATGAAAGATGCCTTGTGGGACACCTGGCTGGCTCAGTTGATTAGTGTCCGACTCTTGATTTTGGCTCAGGTCATGATCTCAGGGTGAGGAGATCGAGCCCTGCATTGGGCTCTTGCTCAACAGGGAGGTGGAGCTTACTTGAGATTCTCTCCTTCTCCTTCTGCCCCTCCACCTGCTGTGTGCTTTCTCTCTAAATAAATAAAAATAGTTATTTATTTTTAAAGATTTTATTTATTTATTCATGAGACACAGAGAGGCAGAGACACAGGCAGAGGGAGAAGCAGGCTTCCTGCGGGGAACGTGATGCAGAACTTGATCCCAGGACCCTGGGGTTACGCCCTGAGCCAAAGGCAGACGCCCCACCGCTGAGCCACACAGGCATCCCAATAAATAAATCTTAAAAAAAAAAAAAAATGCTTTGACTTCTCCTTTCCTTGTGTTTCCTTCTGATATAGATAGGTTGCCCTAGAAAGCATCCTTTTATTTTAACAAATCAGCGTGTGTATGTTATTGCTCATGAACGGTTTGTTAGGCTGTTTGGCTGTTTGCAGGTTGACTTGTATAGCCTAGAAAAATTCAAAACCAACACGAATGTCATCATACTTTCAAAGAGGGTATGTAATCATGGCCTGGCCACTAGTTAGCTATGTGACTAGTCCTTAGGTAAGTTAAGGCCATCTCTCTGGACTCTAGTTTCCTTGTCTGTAACGTTGAAGGTTTGGACTACATGATCACTTAAGGCAGAGTCTGGTGGCTCTAACAGTCTGCTTTATGAACATCAATGTGACATTGCCTCCGTTGGTGATAAGGAGAATAAACAAAACCATGAAACCTGTTACCAGGTACAGATGGGACACGCAGGCTGAAAAAATGAGCAGTTGTGAATATTCAAGTCAGAGCAAAATGACACAGCTGTTTCCTGCTTGACCCCCGGGTTTGTTAATTCTGGTTATCTTAAGTTAACTCTGTTAGATTTTTATTAAATAAAAATCTCACCCATGTTTGACGTTAGCTAATCTCTAAACATGGTCCAAAATAATCACACTGAAACAGTGTATTTGCCTTCTGAGAAACTATAGGCAACTCATTCAGGGATGTGGTAAACGTGACAATAACTGCCTACATATTTGCTCATAGGCGCTCTCACATCTGCCTAAGAGCCCAGCTGCTAACTCGCATGGCAGACGGTGACGTAGAAACTGTCCCTTCATGTTGTTCTGGGTCAGAGAAGGATCTGATGCCGTTGGCTTGGTGTAGGAGCCTGTGCAGCCTGGATCAGTTCTCTCACTGTGGCCTGGCCACCTTGCACATTTGGAACAGTTTTGTACTTTTGCACATTTGATTAAATTCCAAGCTTTTACTGCCCATCTGCTACGTGCTGGGCACTGGGAGACAGAGCAGTAACCCATTCCTGGCCCCTCAGCACCAAAGTTTAGTAAGTGAAAGGGGCATGGGCTCAGATAAATTGCAGTCATGTATATGGTGAAACAGTAGACTTGGAGTAAGGTCTAGAGGTAGCACAGAAGAGGTGATGGTCAACACTGGGTGGGTGGGTAAAGGTCAGGAACGCATCACGGAAGGTGAGGCTGAACTGAGATACTGAGGAATGAATTAGAATTTTCTGCCAGACCAAAGCTCAGGTGGATTGGATTGGGGTGCTGGGTGGCAGGGAGGCCTTCCAGCTTGTAGAAAAGCAGGATTAGAAATATGTGGTATGGGGCGCCTGGGTGTCTGAGTCGGTCAAGTGTCTGCCAGGAGGCTGGTCCTGGATAGAGCCCGTCGTCGGCCCCCGGCTCAGCGGGGAGGCCGCTTCTCCCTCTCCCTCTTGCCCTGCACGTGCTTGAGCTCTCTGTCTCTCAAATAAATAAAATCTTTAACAACAAAAAAGAAATACTGGGGTGTATTCAGGAAATTCCAAACAGCAGCAGAGGATCGTAAGTGGATGGGAGCTACATCAGGGGGACCTTGAATGCAGTGCTGAGAAGTTGGTGGGGAGCCTCTGAAGGATTTAATCAGAGCAGAACCTCATCAGACATGTATGTGAAAGCAGCAGCAGCTCAGCCCTGAGGTGTATGTGCTACCTGTAAGATGCACCTAATCCAGAGTCCCCAAAGAGATGCTCCTTTTGGTACCACCTGGCTAGATTTCTGGACCACGTCAGCCTAAATTATGGATGAAATACAGTGGAGTAGAGTCAGAATTTTTTTTATCCCAGTCTTTGTCTCCATGGCCTGATACTCTCAGAGTTCAGTTCCCAGTGACATCAGTGATCTGCCCCCATCTTACCCTGCCCTTCACCTCAGTGGTGGAAGAAGGTGCGGTTATGCCTCCCTCGTAGCGCATCCTCATTCTGAAATGATTTTGGTGACCAGACGTTTGGGAACTACTAAGCACAGCTCTTTCACTGGGTGGAATATATTATTTTGCCTGGTATTAACGAGTCTGTTTTCTTAATTTCTGTAGCAAAGAGGGTGTGTATGAAATCAGCGTGTCACCCACAGGCATATCTAGGTAAGTGAATCCTCTCTACAAAGTGACCATAATTATTATCGAGTTATAGTCTCTTAGGATATTCTGCTCCCTTACTTGAAATAGTTAACTTCTGCCTCTGAAGGTCTTGGGGAGTGAGAATTTAGTAATATCTCTTTTTATATAGCATTTCTAACTTCAAAACATTTTCATAGCCTCTCTGTCAGGTATAATAACTATTACTTCTAGAATTTTCCAGATGAAATGAAGGCCAAAGGGAGATAGAGAACTTTTTCCTAGTGCCACATAGTAACTTAAAATTAGAGTTAGGGCAGCCCGGGTGGCTCAGCGGTTTAGTGCCCCCTTCGGCCCAGGGCATGATCCTGGAGACCCGGGATCGAGTCCCGCATCACGCTTCCTGCATGGAGCCTGCTTCTCCCTCTGCCTGTGTCTCTGCCTCTCTCTCTCTCTGTGTGTGTGTGTGTGTCTCTCATGAATAAATAAATAAAATCTTTTAAAAAATTAAATTATCGGGATCCCTGGGTGGCGCAGTGGTTTGGCGCCTGCCTTTGGCCCAGGGCGCGATCCTGGAGACCCGGGATCGAATCCCACGTCGGGCTCCCAGTGCATGGAGCCTGCTTCTCCCTCTGCCTGTGTCTCTGCCTCTCTCTCTCTTACTGTGTGCCTATCATAAATAAATAAAAATTAAAAAAAAATATTAAAATAAAAAAAAAATTAAATTATCTAGCCTCCACTGCTGTGCTTTGAGTGCTACATATTATTATTATATTACATTATACGTATTACTACATTTATTATCATCACATTAATAATATTATTACATATATATTATTTTAAAAAATTAATCCTTAATCTACATGAGTAATCTATATTAAGGTAAGTTTTAGTCAAGTTAAAGCATACACACTTTAGGGTATAGTTAGCATTAATCATTAAAAACATTTGGAGGGGCACCTGGATAGTGCAGTCAGTTAAGCATCCAGCCCTGGGTTTCGGCTCAGGTTGTGATCTTGCCTGTGGTGAGATCGGGCTCCACGCTCAGCACAGAGTCTACTTGAGTTTCTCTCTCCATCTCCGTCTGCCCCTCCCACTCGTGCACTCACACTCTCTTTCTCTCTCTCTCACTCTAAAATAAATAAATCTTAAAAACAGAAACACCTTGAGTGATGCCTGGGTGGCTCAGGTGGTTGAGTGTCCAATCTTGGTTTAGGCTCAGGTCACGATCTCAGGGTCGTGAGATTGAGCCCCACATCAGGGTCAGTGTTCAGTGAATAGTCTGCTTGAGGTTCTTTCTCCCCTTCGGCTCCTTCCCCTGCTTGTACACACACTCTCTCTGTGTATCTCAAATACATAGATAAAAATCTTAAAACATTTTGAAAGCATTCCCTTAATGCAAGAGTATACTAATTGTCACTATAACAATGAGGCATTTAAATTGAATATATCAGAACTTGCATATCTAAATGAGGTGTTAGAAAGAACTTCAGAAACTTCTTTCCAAGCAGTTTAACTATCAGGCAGGAAAACCAGTTGCATTATTTTGGTCGCATCTCATTGTTAACCAGGTATGGCTGAAGTGAGCTTTGGCTCTTTCAAAAAAATCAAACACACCTGCAGAGTGTGAAGTTCAACAGAATGTTCCAAGGGCTTTGAGAACGTTTCCTTTTTTTTTTTTTTTTAAAGATTTTATTTATTTATTCATGAGAGACACAGAGAGGGGGGGAGGCAGAGAAGAGACACAGGCAGAAGGAGAAACAGGCTCCACACAGGGAGCCTGATGCAGGACTCGATCCCGGAACTCAATCCTGGGACTCCAGGATCATACCCTGAGCCGAAGGCAGGTGCTCAACCGCTGAGCCACCCAGGCATCCCTTTGAGAACATTTCTTAAGAAGGATATTCAAAATGATTTTTAGCTGATTCGTCATTATTGAAATGCATGTATATTCAATGAGAGAAAGAACCCTCATTAAGCAATGTTTATTTTGATCCGGTCATAAGTGATGGCTTTCCCTATCAATAACAGTCTCAGAAGACGAGCAATTGTGAAAATACACAGGGCCAGGCATTTTATTAGTTTCTTTACATTTCATAGTGAAACTATGAGGTGGGATTAATTTTGTGTTACAGGTAAGAAGAACCAAGGTTCAGAGAGGTTAAGTTATTTGCCCAAGGTTTCACAGTAGGTGGTCATGGAGCACTGTCTGAGGCATGTTTCTAAAAGCCCTCATGCATTCTTTTTCCCTTTTTGCCTCTTTTATTTGCCTTAACATGAAAGTTTATTTCACATTTGGAACGTGATGACCTAGTGATACTTAGGTTCTGCTTACCATGCGTATGTGCTAAGATGATTTCATCTACCCATGAAAGGAAGCATCCAGATTAACTTCCTCCACTAACGGTTAGAGACTAGCCTGTCTTCTCTTTGTTCTTTTTTTTGTTTTGTTTTTTAAGACTTTATTTATTCATGAGAGACACAGGCAGAGGGAGAAGCAGGCTCTGCCCAGGGAGCCTAATGCAGGACTCAATCCCAGGACCCTGGGGTCACGCCCTGAGCCAAAGGCAGATGCTCAACTGCTGAGCCCCCCAGGTGGAACACCTCTGTGTTCTTTTTGAAAAATATTATTATTTATTTATTTATTTATTTATTCATTTATTTAATTTATTATTCTTTATTTTGCAGGGTGCACACCAGTGGGGAAGGAGGCGGAGGGAGAGGGAAAGCATCTCAAGCAGACCATAGTGAGCGTGTGGAGCCCCCAGTATGGGGCTCAATCCCAGGACCCCAAGATCATGACCTGAATGGGAATCAAGAGTCAGATGCTTAACCAACTGAGCCACCTAGGCATCTCTCTTTTCTATGTTCTTTAGTTAATAATGGTTCTTTCTGCATCAAGGTTGTGTTTGTATCCTGGTTTTATTGACTTAAAAGAAGCCGACTGGGTATTGAAACAGCTTTGTGAGGTCGTTCCCTGGAAGCAGAGGACCGGCATCAGAGAGGGTAAGTACATGTCTGAGATCGCACTTGCTGCCTGGTCTCCCTTTCTAGAATGTTTTCTGATGCCGTTGCCTCTTTGACCATGGCCAGTCTTAATTAAACAGATTCAAAACCTAACAGAGACCCTAGAGATGAGTAGGGACTCACCAGTCAAAAGGGGCAGGGAAGAGTCTTCCAGGCAGAAGAAACAGCAGGTGGCAGGCTCAGAGATCTGGGCCATGGGCAGGAACTTGGATACGGAGGGGGGGTGGTCAAGGAACCAAAGGATGTTTGTTAGGCCGATCACTGGTTGATATCTCTCTTTTCAGGTTTGTTCATTACCTTTATTACTTTAAATAGTGCCAGCTTTCCTCTTTCTTTATAGAAAGTTGCAGAGCGTTCCTTTTTCTGATACTATTTGGCAGACGTTCTTTTATAATCTTTGTTACTGGCTTTTTGTTCTCATTTTAGTTTCACTGGAAGAGTCTGGTGTCCTTTCATTTCAGCATCTGTGCTCTCGTGAGCTTGTAAAGATTACCTGACTTGGAACCGGCTCCTCTGTGGGCATCCACAGGCCAACGGTCTCTGCTGTACCAGACGTGGCCACTTGAGGACGTCTATGCTCCAGCGTAAAAGTTGCTTTCTGGTACATTGAATTCAGATCTTCTGTAAAGAAAGAGGCAAAGTATACTGGCTTCATTTCTATGACTCAGACGATAGAATAGGAGTCCACTTTTTCTCCTGACTTCCAGAGTTTCCACAGTAGGGCTTTTGGTGGCCAGCTTGGCTTTGATTGCTGGCTTTGTCATACAAAGTAAATGTTAATTTTTTTTTAAAGATGTTATTTATTTATTCATGAGAGACACACAGAGAGGCAGAGACAAAGGCAGAGGGAGAAGCAGGCTCCCTGGGGTCACACCCTGGGCCGAAGGCAGACGCTCAACCACTGAGCCACCCAGGTGTCCAGTAAATGTTAATTTTGAGCAAATTATAGTTAAATAGTTTTCGGATCCTTCCTTTTCTGATCTGTAGAATGGACTAATGATAGTACCTACCTCATAAGGTTGTTGTGATAATAAAGTGGGATACTGCATGATGAGTGCTTAGCAGAATGACTTGTGCACAGTAAGCCCTCAGTGAAGGTTGGCTGCCTTTATCATTATCGGTCTAATGATAGCAGTTGATATCAGTTGTAGGGAAAAATAGATGTATGCATAACTCCCTTCTAGATCACTTGAACATCAGAAACTTCTGACTACAGCCGGTTGCATGCTGTGGTTGGTCAGAGCCCCTTTGTCTTCATCAAAATCAAAAGGTGACACGTGGATGAACAGTTTGCCTGTTTCTTGTGTGGATGTTGGTGGCACAGACTCCTACCTACAAGTGTTCAGACGCAGCTTTGTAGACCTCCCTAGTCTGAACCATTCTGCAGTGTGCCTCCACTCCTGTTCATGTCATCGCTGATGCAAACAAGTCACACATACTCTCACCTCAGAGCCTTTGCCGACGTGGTTTCTGCCCATGTACCCTCTCGTCTTCTTCCTTTGACTGCTTCTACTCCTGAAATCCCATATCCTCTAAGAACATGGAACCCTGGGTCAGAGCCCATCTTTACTCTGCCTGTGTATTTCTCATAGTTTCTTGCACATTTGCATGGCACTCAGTAGATACACCCTAAATGGCATTAAACCATTTCAAAGGCCCTATATTTTCTTTCTTAGATGTAACTTACAAGCAACCGAGACTTACAGCATGGTATGGAGAACTTCCTTACACTTACTCAAGAATCACTATGGAACCAAATCCTCACGTATGTTGGAATATTGTTGTTGGTATGGTTTTATAGACTATGTACTATTAATGTAGATTACTATAAAATAACGCATATTTTCTTACCCAGTTGCATGTTGGTTCCTAGTTCCAAAAATCCTCTGGGTTCAAACACTGAGTCTTTGTGCTTATTATTCTTGATGTATTTTTTGGTCTAGAGATGAACTCAGAATGAGAAAAATTGGAACTAGAATAAACTGGAACTAGGCTCAAGGATTTCAGGAAAATGAACCATTATTTCAAATCTTCCCCTTTCCCCAACTTTTCTGACCATAGCCTTCTGGTACACGTTGCTATGGAGCCAAATTCTTATGACTGGCCAGTGAGGTCAGAACATCTCTTTCCATTTCTCAGGCTCTTTTGCCATTTGTGAAAAAAAATTGGGTGTTTTTCTTGTTGGCTTTGTACTCATTTTGTGGCTGCAGCTCTTAGACTCTGGAAATCTTATTGTGCTTTTGGCTTATTTCTACTGCTTCTTTTGTTTCTGAAAATTTCCATGACAGTAGACAAGGAGATTCTAGTATATAAATTAAGCTTGTCCAAAGGATAGAGTTAAGGTCCAAGAACTAGCTCCCTGTTTAGTTCTTGGAATCTTGCCTTTGGCAAATGATTTTGTGCTTTATTGAACGAGACTTTGAAGGAAATGGAGTGTTGCTTAGGACATTGAGATAAGCAGAAATACGACACATTTTAGAGCTTGTAGTAATTTGTAATAATAAACTCCCACTTAACTAAAATGTTTGAGGGTAGAATATTGATGGAGGTGGGAGTGGGGACGTGGCTTTTTCGCCTAAGAGATAGCTGCATGCTTTTGTTTGTAGGGCTGCATTTAGAATTGTGACCAGCGAGGTGCTGAGACCCTTTCTAGCTGAGGTTGGTTTGGAAACATGAAGAGAATTGAATTAGACCCATCCAGCAGATGGCTGGCCATGTTCCTGCCAAAATTAATTTACCTGCTTGTCAACAGTCATAGCAGAGAAGTTGAGGATTAAATAGGCTCTAGGGAAGTTCTTTTCCATCATTTTAGTTAATCTTGTAGAACAGGATTTCTTAACCTTGGTATTACTGACTTTTGGGGCTGGATAATGCATTGCTGTTGGGGCTGGCCTGTACACTGTAGGATATTTAGCAGTATCCACGACTTGTGCCCGGTAGGTGCCCGAGCACTCTTTTACCCAGGTGTGACAACCAAAAATGACCCCATATATTGCAGACATCTGCTAGGAGCAGAATTGCCCTTGGCTGAGAACCACTGCTTTAGGTAAACATAAGGCACGTGAGATATGGCCACCTACGCTTTGAAGACAATCTGACAACTCTTCAAAATAATGTTTTGCTGACAGTCTTTCTTACAATGTATGTAATATGAATTTATTACTGAAAATTTTACAAACTGCAGATTAACATGAAGAATATTAAAATTTTGGGTAATTCTTCCATCTGATGTTTGGCTCCAGTCTTTTTTTTTTTTTTTTTTTTTTTTTGCAGGTAGGCTCCATGCCCTACATGGGGCTTGAACTCACGACTCTGAGATCAAGAGTCACATGCTCTACCAACTGAGCCAGCAAGGCCCCCCTTTTTTTTTCATTTTAGGGAAATAGTGTTTTTCTATAAAAATTCCAATTATGTATACTATACTTCATTTAACTATATCATTAACATGTCTTAATATCATTAAATATTCTTTTCCATCATATTTAATAGCTCTGTAGTATCCCATAATCTACATGTACATACCGTAATTTATTCAAGCAAGCTTTTTTGTTGGATATTAAGGTGTCGAATTAGAATTCTTTTATTTGAATTTGGCTGGCTCATAAGTTTGCATTTATTGCTAAAAGATTTTTGTTTATATGCCATCTTGAACAAAATCAAAAGAGATGCCTCTTTCTCAGATTTTTTTAAAGGTATATAGGTGTGTTGGGGGTTCTTATTTAATTTTAACTTGTTTAATTTTAAAATTATTACCTCAAGCTTAATAACCTAAAGCACAGGAGCAAATTCAGTCAGAGGTTATGAAACTTCTTTTAGCCTTTTTTGAACTAAATCTTAATGAATCCAATGTATGAAAATGAAGGAGTGCCTTGACTGGCTGAGAGTCCCACCAGCTTGACCTCTCCTTTCTCCTACTGTAATGCCAGAGACACCTCTCTGTGGTACCTAAGACTCTACAAAACACTTTTTGAAACCCACTGAATAGGTCCTTTTACTTCTGTGATTCATATTTTCTCCTACTCTTTTCCTTAAATGTCCTTTAAGGATAGAATATCTTCACTGAACAGTGAGATGATGCTGAATTTTAATTTAGACATTCAGTTCTGAGGGATCTGTATATAGAGTATTGGTTGGAGAGTCTAAATTAATCCTCGAGTTCATTATCCCCTTTTTTTCCTCCTTACTTCACCACCAAAAATAACCAGTAAAAATATATGCCCACTTAGAAACATAATGCAAACTTGGAGTTATCACAGTACTCAGTCCCTAAGCAAGTCAGGGAGGTGCTAATTAGTTTCTCAGTCACATTACAGAAGAGCTATCTTCCTCTTTTACATTCTTGTTTTTCTTGCTAAGTGTATCATTCTAGCATCTGATCTTTATCTCCATGAAGATAAGCTTAAAACCATAAAATAAATAGGAAATACAGCTTACTTAACATTATTATGGGATTTCACTTTGAAATTATTCTCTTGAACGTAGGTTAGTTTAATAACATTTCTGTTTTACTGATCTAAGTTGGATGCGGTGTTGTCGTTGTTTATGTTTAAAAAAACCCTGCTTAGAATGTAATGCTCATATCATAATAAGAAATCCCAGTTTATATGACTGCTACATCACAGCAAAGCTGAGTGATTCCCACATATGCTTCCTTGGCATTTTTACCCCAAAGTAGCCATGGGATATACTTATATATCATGCTTTGTTGAACATCCTTCACTAAAATAAAGTTTTTAAAGTAGAATCTGTGGATACCTGGAGGGGTCTGCAAAGTCCTTTTGAGGAGTGCCAAGTCCAAACTATTTTTATGATAATACTAAGAATATATGACATTTTCACTATGTCGAATTTGCACTGATGATACAAAAGTAATGGTGGATAAAACTGCTGGAGCCTGAGCATAAATCAGGTCATTGTCACCAAACTATACAAGTAATCATGGTATTCTTCACCACCATGTACTTCCAGTTTTAAAAAAAAACAAAAAACAAAAAACTGGTTTCATTTAAGAATGTTCCTCAAACCAGTAAACATTATTAGTTTCATTAAAACTCAGTATTTTAGCTCCTGTCTCTTTGATAGTTTGAAGAAGTGGAAACATGCATAAAGCCCTCCTGCTACAAGCCAGGCTATGGTGGTTGTCAAGGCAAAACACTTGTGTGATTGTTTAAGCTGTAGCTGAACTACCTATTTTTATCACGGACCATTTTTGTTTAGTAGAACAACTAGCAGACAAACTGTAGTTATTCAGGCTTGAGTTTTTAGTAGACATTTTCTCATGAATGAGTGAAGTGAGTGTTACTGCAAGGAAAACAATGGATAGAATTTGTTACTTATGAAAATTGAGTTTTCAAGAAATTTAGAATTTTGGAAAAAGCTGTATCTGCCACTTTAATCCTGACCTCTTTCTATTACTTAGTCTTTTCTGATGAGATCAGTGGTGATATTAGTGGGTATGATTTTTAAAAATTATATAATGAAATGTATCAACAGGAATGTCAGCCTGCGTTACTCAGTGGGTCAGTATTTTCCACATGACCAATGCTTGATGTTACAGAATCATGCAGGATTAAAAGACCAGTAGTGCAAGCCAGACCAGCAGATCTATTTTATTCTATTTTTTTAAGATTTTATTTATTCATCCATGAGAGACATAGAGAGAGACAAACAGAGACACAGGCAGAGGGAGAAGCAGGCTCCTCACAGGGAGCCCGAGGCGGGACTTGATCCCAGGACCCCGGGGTCACGCCCTGAGCCAAGGACAGACGCTCAGCCGCTGAACCCCCAGGTGTCCCAGACCAGTAGATTTAAATGTAACCAAATATGAGAACTTTGTTGATACGACTTCAGATCCCACACCTCAGATCCCACACTGCAACGGACATTTAGGAGATCAGCATTTGTTAAGTTTTGGTGTTAAATAGCACAGAGTATCCACAATTATTTGGAAAGGCTGGAAAAGACTCGTGCCCTTTTCTAACAACATATTCTTGTGAGGCCAGTTTTCTTCATATAATTCTATAAAAACAACATATTGTAACAGACTGAATGCAGGAGCAGACAGGAGAATCACCTCTCTTCAGTTAAGCCAAACATTAAAGAGATTTGGAAAACCGTGCCACTCTTCTTGCTAATTTTTTGTATTGGAAAATAGAGTTTATTTTTTGTGAAATAATATTTATGTTAACGCATCACAGGTTTGTAGTTTTTAAATGAATTAACCAATAGTTTAATTTTCTAAGTTTTAATTTTTAATGTGATAAACGCCATAGCTGTAACAGAAAGTTCTGTGAGGTCCTCAATAATTTTTGATAGTGATAAGAGAACGACTGTCAGAAAAGGAAGCTCTGTAAAATTCTTGAGTCTTCTTGGAAGGACAGGAGTCTAACAAGGACTGATAGGAGCTCTGCTGCGGTAACTCCAGGACGACCCAAGGTCAGGGGTCACAGCTTCCTGCAGCCCGCGCGGCGGGACAGCGAGTCCCAGATACTGCACAGACGCGAGCTGGTGCTCAGGAGGCAGGGCCGTGGAATCTGGTTAAACTCTAGTTCACAGGCCACGTCATGGTTCTATTCTGTAGAATGTTTTTTCCCTTCAGGTTCTATTTTTAGGAAGTTAGCCACTCTGGAAATATTAAATATTTTTTTAAAGCAAGTCTGTGATTCATGATAAAATAGCAATCAAATGAACAGAGGCCCACCCAGCGGGAAAGTTATTTCACTCCCCATACTTCGGGCTGTCCCTGCCAACTACCTGGGCGCCTGGCACCCATGGGGGCGACCTGGTCCCTTAAGGAGGTGGCTGCCCTGAGTGTAACGACAGGTGCTCCTTCACACGGAATGTCTGAGATGGGTACGTGGGCTTGGCCCTCGTGACCTTGCTGTACCAATTCGGTACCTTAATAAGATCGTGGAGGTCACCTTGCTTCAAAATAGAAACAGCGGGAGGGAATAGACTCCTCGTGCCTCTGGCTGTTCCCTCCAAGTGTTTAGCCTCTTCCACGCCCCTGTTTATAACATGGCCGATTTTACACTTTCCTCTGTTTTACATGTGGCTGCCACCCTGTGTCTTCTGTGAACCGTCTCTGCCCCCTTTTCCCGGCCTGCCATGGCAGTGGCCTGCTGTGCTGTGCACACTAAAGGACCAAATCGAAGAGAACACTGGCCACACCTTCAATTCCTTGCTCTGCAACCTTTACCGAGATGAGAAGGACAGCGTTGACTGGCATAGCGACGATGAACCTTCGCTGGGGAGATGTCCCGTCATTGCTTCACTGAGTTTTGGTGCCACACGCACTTTTGAGATGAGAAGGAAGCCCCCACCAGTGAGTATTCTCTGTTTTTTTTTTTTTTTTTAATCTTTTTCATACCTTCTGATACTCTGAAAAAAGTAGAGCTCTTAAAAGCTCACGTTTTCAGATGTAGGAAATAGGAGTATGTGTTTTTTGTTGAAACGTTTTCAGCTGGTTGCCTCTCCGCTGGTTAACTCTGGACTCCCAAAGCAGCCATTCATTCATTCATTCATTCATTCATTCATTCACTTACCCGACAGAGATTGCTTACCGTGCGCCAGCGCCTGGGGCTGTTCCCATTGGGTGGAAAAGACAGCCGTAATCCCGGTCCTCGGGAGACCCGGGATAGACAGATAGTGCTAATTATTGAAATATTGGAACCACGATGAGTGCTGTGAAGGAGGCTTGAAAAGGGAAGGCTCGAGCTAGTAGATGTGAGGTGGGAAGGATGCCCCTGAAGAACACTTTAGTGTAAGTAAGGCTTCCCCGCGGCGGTGTTGCTGCCTCCCTGTGAGCGAACATTGTGAGCATCCTCACTCCCTTCTTAGCCATCTTCTGAGGCAGAGGTGAACCTGCAGTGCTTTCAGAAACAGGGTATAGGGATCCCTGGGTGGCGCAGCGGTTTAGCGCCTGCCTTTGGCCCAGGGCGCGATCCTGGAGACCCGGGATCGAATCCCACGTCGGGCTCCCGGTGCATGGAGCCTGCTTCTCCCTCTGCCTGTGTCTCTGCCTCTTTCTCTCTCTCTGTGACTATCATAAATAAATAAAAATTAAAAAAAAAAAAAAGAAAGAAACAGGGTATATATTCAGGCCAGATCACCAGAGGTGGTGGTCTGTCCAGGCTAGAGAAGCTGTCACTAAACTACATAATAACTTTAGTTTTCCATCCCAGCTTTTGCCTGTATTTCATGACATTTGAGGGACACGAAGACTGTTGATTTTCTCAAATCAAGGAAGTATAAGACCGTAGGACTAAGGGTAGTAGGAACTCAAAAGATCAAACCTCTACCAGATTATCTTATTATCTTTGTGTCTTTCTCTAACCAAGGTTCACAGCCATTTAGCTTATAACATTAAAGCAGACCCAGTCCGTGTGGAAAGGCTTATAAGGCTATGTTTAGAATATGACCTAATCCAGACCAAATAGTTAGTGTGTCAGTGCTCATGTCTGTTCTTCATCAGATATGCTTCTAAGAATATAGTTAATGGACTGGGCTCTTTCCCTGACATGGATTTCGGCTTCCAAGCATGGTATTTTGAAGCATATTGTGTTGTTTTGCATTTATGCCATGAAGCAGCTTTTGTTGGTATAATTCCCATTGATTAGGTTTTCTTTGCATTGTTTCTTTGGTCTGTGTTAGCAGGGGATTGTCAGTTGCCAGTGACTTATTGAGTGAACTTGTTCCTGAGCACTTCGAAGAGACTTCACAGTTTCACTGGTGATTATTAGCCTTCTCACGTACCAGGAGTACCACTCGAGGAGCAGACAACCCAGCCTTTGCCATACTGTCTTCGGGTATGGTTATATTTTTTTACGCAGCCTTCTACTCAGTTAAAACCCAGTTAAAGAAATTATATGAATGGTTCAGCCTGCCCTTGGTAAGACTCCTGTTACATGAATAGCAGAGGAACACCATGTGTCTCATTTTTAAGTTCAGATCCTCTTTTCAAGCCGGGAGTAAGAAACACCAACCTTTTGTCAAGCATGGTCATGGGAGCTGGGGCTGTAGCAATGACTGAGTAAGATGAAGTCATGTTTTCCCTCCTGGAGCTTATGAGCTAGCACATGTTAGTGTTGTGCCTTCCTACGACAGTTTTCCTTCCAGCTCCAGCACATAAGCTGTGGGAGATCCACTATAATGTTTGGTACAATCCCAGCCTCTTGTTCCTTTCAGTTACTTTCTTTGTTGCCAGGTATTTAAGTGTCCAATTACTGTTTCTTTACACACATACATTCGCCACCACCCCCTTTTACAAACATTTTTGGCCTATTTATAGATTTGAAGCCTAAGGATTCCCAAAGCGTGCTGTCTGGATAATTAGTTTTACTGTAGAAGCAGTTTCCAGCCATTAAGCATCAGCAGTGTTCTGGTGCCCAGAATACCCCTATTCCATTTCTCCCCCAGACAGCGGAAGGTCTTCATTTTCTCGTATAAAAACATTATTCGTGGCAACCAAAAGCTATTTCTTGGTAATACACCTGACTTATGTTCTAGGTTAATGAGTAGATGGATAATACAGCTACCACGCAGCCTTGAAGGGAACCATTTGGAATAAAATCTCAGTTTAAGAGGGAGACTGCCCCTACTGAAGCTGTATCTTCTCAAGGCTGCTTACAGTTTATTTTGATGAGTATAGTGAAAATATAAGCCATGAAATACTGAAAATGTGGTAACATCCCTCTAATTATTTGCCAGTAACAAAGGAATCTACACTATACCTATGATGGCCGATTTAATAAAAATACAGACCTCATAAGAAAATTCATCTGGGATCTTGAAACTGAGTCGGCTGAGGCAACAGATTTGGGAAAAAACATAAAGGTGTCAGTGTCCTACCCCAGGCTGTTGACTCTAATACATCATGGCTTCCTGTGTAATCTGAATTCCAATTGAGTTTATTGTAATTGTACATCCCTTCAACTCTGACGTTTGTTCAAGATGGGAAGATTGAAGGAGAATGTATTGGAAATTATCATCATGCGTTAGTGAATATGTTTAAAAGTGGCTTTTTACCCCCAGAACCTGTAAGTTCTGTTCTTGGGTAAATAAGACCCAAGTTTAAACTTCAAAAAGCACTCAGGTTTCTTTGACGCCAAACCTTAGGGCTTCATAAATCAAGCTAGACTGGAAGTACAGAAGCCTTTCTTTGAGCTGACAGCCTTAGAAATGCATGTTCGAGTACATCATCTTTATCTCATCATAATGATCCCTTTTCTGAAGGATTGAAAGGAAGTGGTTATTGTGAATCTTCTTGCTAAACTCCGGTGAAGGCTCTGAGAGCATGACTCATGATTCATACAACTCAGGGTAAAAGCATAAATTAAAAAGTATAAATTACGCTAGTGTTCTGTGCGGAATTTGTAGGAGTCTGATTTTCTGTCAGGAAACTTAGGAACCCAACTTAGTAGGCCACTATAGGCTGTAATTTTCACGTCTGTCAACGAGACATTCAGAGTATGTTAGAGGTTGTGGGAGGGAATCTCTTTCAAAATCCAGTTTGTTTTAACCTATCGGAAGAGAAGCTAAATACCTGTTTGACTTGAGTCAAAGTTTCTCATCTGAAAGTGACACAGAAGAATCATGAGATTTTGTGTACTTTATTCAAGTATGCAGTTTTGAGACAGGAAAAGCATCCGTTTGGGGCCATTTTGCTGTCATCGTTGTTACATGCCATCCCCTCCACCCCTGTGGCAGCTGTCTGTCGTGCTGTCTCGCACCTTAGGCAGGTCTCCGTAGCTGCTGATCGTCTGAAGGCTGCCCCAGTTCTACTCTCTACATGGCCTTCCTCACAGTTGCCCTGTGCTGAGAGGGCTCAGAGCTCTTTGTTTCCTAAGTACTGATCCATGTACTTGGCCCAGCCAGCCTCATGTAGGCATCATCCCTAGGATAAATGTTTTGTTCCTCCAAGATGCTTATCCTTCTTCACTGTCCTCTAGTCCAAGCCAGTCAACTCCTGCTCATTCATTTTGATTTTAGAGTAAATTACCATTTTCTTTATTTTTTTAAAAAGATTTTATTTAGTTATTCATAAGAGACGCACAGAGAGAGAGACAGAGACAGAAGCACGAGAGAGGCAGAGACAGAAGCTCCCTGCAGGAGCCCCATGCGGGACTCGATCACGGGACCCTAGGATCATGCCCTGAACCAAAGGAATGCGCCAAACCACTGAGCCACCCAGGTGTCCCACCATTTCCTTTAAGGATAACAAGGTACTTGATGGTGAAGTAAACTTGCCTGATCTTGCCGTTCCATTCACCCCATCTCTTCTTTTGTTAATTCAGTTAAAGACAGTGTGAATAGCACCATATCCACCTTCTGGCCAATGTCAGGATATACTATCTCAAGACAAAAGTAAAGCTTACCAAGTATACTTTAGTGGACACTCTTTTAGAAACCAAGAACCTTTTTTTATTCTGTCAAGCTGGGCTCATTAAAGTTTGTCTATACTCGTTGTCCCAGACCCAGTTGTACTTTCCAAAATGCATCGTGTCTCTGCTGTAAAGATTAGTCTGGTTCTTTTCCCAGCTAGCTTTAATTCTATCCTGAAAAACAAGCTGGAAAAGGAACTACAAAAGCCATTTGGCAGGCTGCTATTTCTCTGTCGGTTACCATGGAAACAGTGATGGCTGAGTTGGGGGGATATTAGATAATAGCAGGAAGTTTGTGATGTGCTGGAGGTTTAGATGCCAGAAGCCTTATTCTTATAGCACATCACCCATGGATAAGCTCTGCCCTTGATCAGCTGAATCCTGAAAATGTGAAGGGCTTTTGTCCACCCAGGGTGATTGAGTTGAGGCAAGTTCAACATTTCTCAAGCCATTTCTTTCTCTAGCACCTTCTGATGAATGCGGACCCTGTCTATAGCACCAGAAGAGATGGTTGTAAAACCACTTCCAATGGTGGAGGCCGTGTGAGCTTCCCGTGGATTAGAGTTCCTAGTACCTATCTTGCTCGTAGGTTTTTTGCCCACTAAGGGGAGAGTGGAGTGTGAGCAGCTCACTTTAATCATCAATACTCCTATTTTTCCAGGACTTCAGAAGAAGTGAGGATATTAGAATCCAAAATACTGTAACACTGACTAGATTTAAGAGCTAGATAAACTACACGGTGCAGTATTTCATGGAGCCGGCACCCCTCTGCTGCCGGGCCTGTCATCCGTATTTCTTAATCAGCCCCTCTACAGTTCAGAGCGTCTGTTCTGAGAAGTTATGAGAAATACTGGAAAGAAATTGTTGGTAGCTATGGTCTTTTTAATACAACTCCAAATGAAATCTAGAAGATCACTTTTTTATTTTCTGTTTCTGTCAAAAG